GATCTACTGGAATAGTTTTCAGGTGGCCTTCAAGAATCCCCAGAAACCTTCAGGCGGCTTATGCAGGGACTTACAGGGCGCCGATTTATCGAGGGGGGAAGATGTGGTGGTGGTGGGGGACATCTGTGGCCAGGAACGCGCCCTGCATGTTGTGTAGATCGTGCTACAGTCAGCGCGCCCCAATCGCTGCGCGACAGCGCGAGGCATTGAAAAACAATGACTGCACATGGTGTCCAAGACAGCCCGACCCAAGACGCCCCGGCAGAGTCTGAGACGGCCCAGGCCAAAACATGACAAAACAACATAATAGATTTAGAGCAGCCTGAATCCAAGACGTCCTGATCTTCAGGACAGCTCTGGGGTCTTCACGGAGCCCCCCGAATCCCCAGGAACCCGTAGGAATCCGTGGGAACCCCGCCCGACCCGGCAGGAGTTTCCAGGAGATTTTCTTGCGTTTCGAGGAAATCTTCTCAGAATTTTCAGGCCTTGTTTTGTGGAGTGTTTCTAAGGCCTTACGGCCAGTGCCGCCGACCCTGAAGACGACGACAAATACGAAGAGGAGGAGGAGGGGGATTTAGGTGGAAAGGAGCAGGAGGAGGCGAAGGAGATGTTGCCCATGTGGGCCGAGGGAGTCGTAGCAGAGACAGGGAGTCTTGTGGCCTGCGGCCCTTCCCGCCACCGTGCTGGGGTTGTGGTTGAAAGGCCTCTTGGATGTGTTCGGGCCTGTTGGGGCCTCTGTTGGGCCTCTTGGAGGTCTCTTGGGGGCCTCTTCTGGCCCCTGGAGGGGCTCTTTGGGCCTTCTGGGGCTTCTTGGGGCGGGAAGCTCGAAATGTCAGTTCGTGGTCCTCTTCTTGGGCCTGCTTGGGGCCCACTTGGCGCGTCTTGGCGCTTTTTTTGGCTCCGGGACGCCCAGGGGCGGATGCGTATTTGACCCCCCCCTCCCCCGGGGACCCCCCGGGGACCCCCCCTGAGACCCCCCCCCTCGGCGGGGAAGGGATCAAAGGGAAGGGGCTTTCCTTCGACTTACGTACGACGTTGCTACAATTTTCTCTCGCTGGCAGGCTTGAAAAGGAGGGCGCAGGGAAAGGGGACGACGGCGACGCAGGGAAAGAGGACAACGGATGCGTCGACTGAGCGCACGCCAACAGGGGGTCCACACGCCGACAGGGTCGGCTGATTCAGGAATCGCCCGAGGCTTTCCAGAAACCATCAAAGAATCCGCCGAAAGCCGAATCCAAAACTATCGATCAGGATTCTTTCAGGAATCCTTCAGGCGTCCCGTGATACTCAGTAATCTCTCTGGAATCTAAAGGCATCCGCAAGGAGCTTCAGGCCCTCCAGGAGTAGCCAGTTACCCTGCCCAAAAATCCTTCAAGAACTTTCAGGATTCCGCAGGAGTCCTCCGGAACGTTCGGGACCGCAATGAGACTGAACAACCCGCGTGTTTCCGATTCCGCGCATGTTGTTTTGCGTGCCGTGCTATGACCGGGTTCGGATGTAAAGTGCGAGTATCGAACAAGGCGTTGAATGATACTATTGCAAGTGGTACGCCCACGCTCGCAGTGCAAAGGCGCCTTCACGTCCTTCTCCTCTTCCTCCTCATCCTCCTCCTCATCCTCCTTCTTCATTCAGTCCTCCCGCTTTTCGGCCCTTGTCTCCCTCTTTCCTCTACGTGTAACTGAGGTGCTAGGTGGTCCAGCGAATGGACGCGTCGTTACTGAGTCCTGGGGGGCAGCGATGATGGTGAATGAGGAGGAGGAGGAGGAGGAGGAGGAGAAGGACGAAGAGGCGGAGGAAGAGGATGAGGAGGATGAGGTGGAGGAGGAGGAGTAGGAGGAGGAGGAGGAGGAGGAGGAGGAGGAGGAGGAGGAGGAGCGAAGAAGAGGCTGAGGAGGAGGAGGAGGAGGAGGAGGAGGGGGAGGAGGAGGCGGAGGAGGAGGAGGAGGAGGAGGAGGAGGCCGAGGAGGGGGAGGAGGAGGAGGAGGAGGACGAGGAGGAAGCGGGGGATGGGGGCAAACGTGACCTGCGCGACCGTGTGTGCTGAGGATTCCACATCGTTCCCGGGAGGATTCCTGCGGATTCTTGCGGGCGCCCGCAGGATTTGCGGGAGGTCGTTGCGGGATTCCTGAAGGACTCCTGAGAGATATTTGGGGCTCCTGAGCATTCCCGAGGGTTCCTGAGGGTGCCTGAAGGATTTGTCGAGATTCATGATGGCTTCCTGATGTATGTGTGAAATTTCTGGAAAGATTCCTGGTGGTTCCCGGATGCTTCGTGGGGATCGCGGAGGATTTCTGCTACGGGTTCTTGAAGGTTCTTGAAGGACCCACTGAGATCACTCAAGGGTTCCTGAGGACTCCTGCTTTTTTTCTGAAGGATTTCTGAACATTCCTGTATGGGGGCCTACGAGATCCCCTTTTTGGGGGCGGATTCCTGTTGGATGTCTTTGACAATTCTTGAAGGATTTCTTTAGCTTCCTGGAGGGTCCCCGAGGAGCTCTGCGGATTCCTGCTGCGGGCTTGCCGATTCTGGCAGATCTTGGCGGATTCCGGGTGGATATTTGAATATTCTTTGAATAATTTCTGGCATGTCTTCGACGATTGTGAGGATCCCAAGATGCTGAGGACTCCTGGTGCGTATTCCTCGAACTCCTTGAGGAACGGAGTCGGATCCCTGAAGGTTTCCTGAGGATCCCCGCCGATTCGGGAAGATTCTTGTAGGGTCCCCGAAGGATTCTTGAGGATCCCTACAGGTTTGCTGCCGAGTCGTTGAGGACACGTGAGGCTTCCTGAGGGTTCCTCACAGATTTCTCAAGGATTCATGTGGGGCCCTCTGGGTTCTTGAGGATTTCTGGTGGATTGTGGAGGATTATAAGATGATTCTTGAAGGGTTGTTGAAGAGTCCTGTGAGGTCCTTGCAATAACCCGGAAGCTGCCCGATAATTCGCCGTTTGTTTTCTGGTGCTAGCGATACTGTTCGGCGTTTTGTCGTGGGAATTAAGTCATTGTTTGGTGCTACGGATAATTGGGGCGGATCCGATAATGCGTTCCAGATGTTATTCATCGCGGACATGGGCCCGATCGCCCACCTTGCATCGGACCGTGCGGATTTGTATCGAGGGCCCACCGCCGATCGATCGGCGATGCAACGCCGATTTTGAGTCGATGCTTCCCCCCTGAGCCGGTCCACCCCCAACGCTGCCCGTTGTTTTTGCGTGTCGAGATGGTTTTTGTTCTCTTGTTGTAGTCGCATCGCGTCCCTATCCCACCTCGAGCCCTACCCCGATGTCCGCCCCCACCCCCGTCTCCACTTCTTCCGCTCCCAGCCCGCTCGGCGCCCACGTTACCGCCCCATGTCGCCCAAGTGCCACGTCGGCACGTATCTCGAATAACAATGAACGGCATGATTATCGCTTAGCCGATCTTTATCCCTATTTCAAAGAAACTTGACGGCATCCGGCCGGTTCGAGGCCGAGCCGTGCAACCAACGCCACTTGCTGAAATCCATACGCAGATTGCTCGACGCTGTTGTGTCTCCTACGGTCATGCAAGGCATCGGCCCGTTGACACGAGCCGCAGTGAAGTCACCGAAACTCCATGCGGCCTTGCGCTCAGGTGCTCAGGAAAAAATCGTTGGCGCGGGCAGTGCGCCGGACGAGCTTTGCGCTGCCTGAATCAAGCGATCAACGCATCGCGCTGAGCAGGAACGTTCAAAATCCCTTATTAATCGACCCCCCCTAAAAAAACCGCACCCCCCTCCAAATGCGACCTAATATTCCGGACCCTCTTCTTCGACGGGGCGCCTTAATAAACGGGACCCCTTACGCTCCAATCCAAAGAAAGCGCCCTAATAAACCCGACCCCCCCAGTTACAAAAAAGGCGCCTCAAAAAACCGGACCCGGGAAATGGTTTAATTCAGGGATTTAGAATATGAGAATGTGGCTTTCCAACACGGCTGCAGGCGCAGGCGTTCCTCAAAGACAGACCCCGCGAAAAGCTGCAGGGATGCACATGCCGGTGCTAGGGCAGTCTGGTTTGGAAAGGAGGGCCACAGGGGGCCCCGCGACGAGATGGACAGATGAAGCATCCGTTCGGTGTCCTTGTCGGTGCATGTTTGCTGATGTCTGTTCGTTGTGCACAACCTATCTATCATGTCTGTACGTGTCTGCGTCGCGTGTAAGAATATTCAAGAAGGGTGGGGAGTGAGAGAATCATCAAGAACGGCGTGAACGAGAATCTTCAAGCGTGTGGTGGCGACAGCAGAGTGGCTTACGTTGCCATGCGCGCAGCAGCCCGCGCAAGGCGCATTCCGGCGCATGCTGCGACCGCTACCCTGGCCCTGACCCTATCCCCATCCACAACCCCTGCTAGGGATCGACCCCTTGAAACCCCAACGGCAGCCTATGGCCCCATCCTGGGGGGTAGATCGGCCTGTGGGGCCCAGGCCACGCCAGTGGGGACAGGGATCGGGTAAACGACACTCATGAACATAAGCGTTCGGAGCTCCGCGTCGGCTTTTGGGGTCGGCTCTGGGCTCCGCTCTCTGGCGCGTTTTGTTGTTGTTGTTGGTGGTGGTGTTGTTGTTGTTGTTGTTGTTGTTGTTGTTTGTGGTGGTGGTGGTGTTGGTGTTGTTGTTGTTGGTGTTGTTGTTGTTGTTGTTGTTGGTGTTGTTGTTGTTGTTGTTGTTGTTGTTGTTTCTGTTCTTGCTGTTGTTGGTGTTGTTGTTTGTTGTGTTTTTCATTTGTTCTGTTTCTGTTCCGAACCGCCCACCCTCCTTTCTTCCGCGCCAGCCTCTGTGCTTCACTTGGGAGGAAAGGGCGAGGACAGCCCTGCGGCAGGACAGCTTGCCGGCTCCCCGGTCTCGTGTGATTCGTTGGCATTGTTTCGTGGGAGCGCCGTTGCCGAACCCTTGGCAGTGCGATCCCCTTCTGCGCCCCATCCTATGTCATTTGAGTCCACCCCGCTTCATCTTGCTCTCTTGCCTGCGCCGTGGTGCAGCCCAGGACCACCTCATCGGCGACGACCCCAATGATGCGGGGAGGGAGGAGGGAGCTGTGAGGAAGGCGTGATGGATGCGCCAGAAGTTGGTCGAGATCGGCCCCCTATCCGGTCAAAGCGCTGTCTTGACCAGTTTTCCAGGTCGCATCCAGCAGTGGCAACGAGGACGCTTCCCCGGAGGCCGACGTAGCGAACAACTGTGCGCGCGTCTCACTCGTTTTTTGTTGTTCTCTATCTCTTTTGTTTTTTGTTCCTTTCTCTCTCTTCCTCTCTCTCTCTCTCTCTTTGCCCCCTTCTCTCTCTGTCGCCGCTGTCTTCTGCTCTTTGTTTGCTTGCTGGCCGCGACGCCCAGAGGTGCTGGGAGGTGGCGGAGGGCGCGAGAGGTGAGGGGGATTGAGGCTCAAGACATCTTTTTCACCCCGTGGCGATAACAGGTGGGGTTGGGGGGCTCTAGGCCTCCTAGATGGGGTCGGAGTTGATGGGATCGGAGGATCGCGCCGCATCGCCGATGCATCGCCGATGCGGCTCGATGCGGAGCCCGATGACGTCGCCGATGCGTCGCCGACGTCGCCGATGCATCGCCGGTGCATCGCCGGTGCATCGCCGATGCATCGGCGATGCATTGGCGATGCGGCGCGATCCTTCGACCCCGTCTGCTCGGACCCCATCCAGGAGGCCTCTATGGGGCGGGAGGGGGAGGGGGCGGGGGGCGCCCCTCGGCCGCCAGCGGGGGCCTCGGGGGTCATCGCTGCGGGCCTCGGGGGGCCCGCCCCTGGGCGGCGGTCTGGGGGTGGGCGTCCGGGGGGCTCCCCGGGGGCCCGCCCGAGGGGAGCGGCTGGGGGGCGGCGGGGGAAGTCCGTGGGCGCGAGGGGCGGGGGATAGGCGCGCACGAGGTGGGCACGGGAAGAGTGGGCAGGGTGCCCAGCAGCGGTTCCTGTTCATTTTGGGCAGGACTCGCTGCCCGCGCCGCCGCGGCCTGTGTCCGTTTGAGACAGGAGGCCGCCTGCCCAACAGGGGCTTTTTTGTCGGTTTGGGCATCTGCACCCATTCTTTCCGTGCCCATGTCGGGCGTCCAAAGGGGAGGGGAGGGGCCAGTCACGTCACGATTCGCGCTGGCGTCGTCTGTGGCGTCTGGGAATGCGTTAGACTGGCTCATTCCCAGATGGCTCTGGTGCGAAGCGTGTCGTGATCCAGGGGGGGAAGTGGGGGGGGACGGGGCTGGTCACGGCCGGTCAAAGCATTAGCTCAAGAGTCATGGATGCGACACCAAGAATAATTACCCGACAGCCCCTCTGCAGACCCTCCCAAGAACCCGTCTGCTTGTATGGACCAATCCCTCCTCCCACGCTCCCAGTGTCCACTTCGATCCGATCGATGCGATCCGGCATTTCCACTGTCGTGGGTTATGGAGGCTTGCTTGCCTCCGAATTCGCCCGAACGGCTGCCCGAGCTGCGACCCCAAAGCCGAAGTCAGAAGTTATTTCGATCCGATCGATCCGATTCGACATCGATTCCTGTCGGCACAAACCAATTCGATTCCGATCTGCCCGGGAGCCGATGAGTCGCGATGTTTGTGTGGCGCTGCCGTGCAGCCTGGCGCGGCCGATCCAGCTCGATCTCGGCCATGGTCCGCTGCAGCCCGATCGGAAGCGCATTTCGATCCGATCCGGCTTCCACTCCGATGCTGTTTGATCCTGCCTCCCTCCTTCTCCGAGGCAGGGATTGTTGCCCATGGCCGCCACCCGGGTGATCGATCTTCGGGAACCTCGGCGGGCGGTGGATATGGATACCGTCAGGCCGAGTGGTAAGGGCGATTGATTTTCCAAGCCTGCCCTATCATCCTTGCCCCTTCGGCCCACGCGTGGCGACTTTCGCTGGCCAGCCTTGTTCGAACAATGTCGAATGGCCCTGCAAAGCCCTTGCATTCTTACCGCGCATCCTTATTATGTGCATCGACTGTATATTCGGACCCCCTGGAGCCAAAGTGCATCCATAGCTGCCCGCTCGTGGGGTCCCACGACATCGGTCCGCCAGGTGGCGGGTATTTTGACAATGCCTGGCCGCCTCCCTCTCCCTCACTCGTCGCCTGTCAGGGCGTGGCTCGGCGGCGAGCCCGGGGGAGACGTGAGAGGGGCAAGCCTTCGCAGGTGGCGGTGGGACTTCTCAGAAGCCCTCGCGCATTGTTGGAAACCTTCTGATTCTAAGCCTCCTCCGACGACGCGGACGGCTTCTCAGAAGCCGCGAGAGCTTCTGAGAAGCCCCGCCGCCTTTCGAGAAGGTCCGCCCCCTCTCGCTTCCCTTAAGTCGGGCATGTCCCTCTACAGGACCCAAACAGTACAGTAAAACAAAATTGTTAGGGGACGACTTTTCGAGCGTTTTTGGAGCATCTGTTGGGTATGTTCTTGATGTTTTGTTTTGGTTTACCTTTCGTCCCAAATCCGCCTGCAGGGGGGCATGCCCGACCCAGCACTCCCCCCTGGGCTCGCAGCCGATCACGCCTCGCCTGCCAGGGCGCGTCATTGCAAGGACTCCACGTCCTGAGCGCGCCCCCCCCTCCGCTTCCTGCGCGCGCCCCCTCCCTCGCCGCCTGGGGCATCTCGGGGGCCACATGCGAACCCTGCCCCTACCCCCCGCGATTTCTGAGGGGGAGGGTGGGGTTCACTTCGCTCGGCAGCTCGCGAGCGAAGTGACCCCCCCCCCTCCCTCAGAAATCGTGGGGGGTGGGGGTAGGCTTCGCATGTGGCCCCCTGGCATCCCGCGCCTGCCTCGTGCAGGAGCGCGGCGAGGGCCCGCGAGCAGGTCGACGCGCGAGCAGGGCGGGGCGCGAGCACCCCCCCCCGGGGCGCGGCAAGGCGGCCGGCGCTCGTCCGCCCGGGCGCTGCCGTACATCTGCACGAACGAGGTGGGCACGGAAAGAGTGGGCAGGATGCCCAGCAGCGGTTCCTGTTCATTTTGAGCAGGACTCGCTGCCCGCGCCGCCTCGGCCTGTGTCTGTTTGAGACAGGAGGCCGCCTGCCCAACAGCGGCCGCTGTCGGTTTGGGACAGCGTTTGTCGTTGGGCATTTGCACCCATTCTTTCCGTGCCCATTTCGGGCGTCCAAAGTACAGTGGAGGCCCATGCCAAGAGACACCCTGCTGTCGCAGGCCTAGAGGTTGGCACCAACACCAAGATCGGCGGTGTGCATCCACCGAGGGAAGACGATCCCGATCTCGGTAGTGGTGGTAATATTCTGGCTTCCAAGGTGACCGAACTATCACCACCAACGCCGAAATTTAGGACCATCTGCTCCACGTGGAGGCAAACCCCCTATGCTGGTGTTGGTGCCAATTTCCAGGCCTCCAATGCTGGCCTCCAGGGTGCCCAGGGCTTCTTGGGCCTCGATCTGGGTCGCTATGGGAAGCGTGGCGTTCCCACAAGAGCAATCCATCCACGGACGACCTGGGGTCTCGGGGTCGGGTTGCTTTTGGGAGGTTTCCCGTGGACTGGCCTCCACTGTATGCCCGCCCCTTTTTGGGCCTTCTGCGCCACCGCTGGATTCGCCTCGAAATTCTAGACGCTTCGCGTAATCAACCCCACCAGCTCATCCAGAAACGATGCCCAGACGAGTTGCACTGATCAGGGGATGTGAAAGAGCATACAATGGAATAAAGGGCTGGGTAAGACCCCAAGAAGGGGATAATGGAGGAGAAATTGGCGGAGCAGGAGCAGGAGGAGGAGGAGGAGGAGGAGGAGGAGGAGGAGGAGGAGGAGGTGGAGAAAGAGGAGGGGGAGCAGGGCGTCTCGGAGGTTTCTTGGCATTCCCAGGGGCCTCTTGGGGCGTCTTGGGTGTCTCTGGGAGAGGGCCCCTTGGTGCCTCTTGGGGGTCTCTTGGGATCCTCTTGGAGGCCTCCTGGGCACTTGGGGCTGTCTTGGGGCACCCTTAGGAGTCTCGGGGGCCATCGTGGGGCCATCTTGAAGGAGATCGATCAAAGGACGGGTTGTACTACAGAAGCCCCCAAGAGGCCCAAGTGTGGCAATTCGTAGTCACATCGATTAGTTATACCTTCTCGAAGTGGCCTCTTGGGGCGTCTCGGGTGCCTCTGGGGGGGCCTCTTGGAGGCACCTCTGGGGCGTTTTGGGGGCCTGTTGGGGCCTCCTGGGCACCTCGTTGGGCCGTCTTGGGGCACCATTGGGAGCCTCGGAGGCAATTTTTGGGCCAGCTTGGAGGAGATCGATCAAAAGGCTCCTTTATTATGGGCGGTGGGGAAGGGGGAAGGGGCCAACGCTTCTCATGCCGTCCCTCTCGCGCTAGGTTCGCGTCGTCTGTCCTGTCCGCCTTGCACAGGGCATGCCGCCAGGGCAGCGCGCTGCTGGTTACTACTGTCTTCTCACTGAGAATTGTGTCTTGAGGCTAGCGTGCCACATCGGCCGTGGGATGGGTAATACAGCATGATGACGAGAGGCCTCGTGGTTGCGGATTGTGTTGAGAAAAAAACAGGAGGCCAATATGTTGCCAGAACCATAGTAAAACAAAAGCAATGACTGAGGCGTTCTCGCCGAGGCCTCTTGGAACGTGTTGGGTGCCTCGGGTGGGGGCCTCTTGGATCCTCTCGCGGGTCTCTTTGGGGGCCTTTTGGGCCTCCTTGGGGCCGTTTTGGCGCACCCTGGGAGAGCCTCGGGGGCCATCTTGGGGCCCTCTTGGAAGAGATCGATCAAAGGACGGGCCGTAGTGAATTTGGCCGCCCCCCTCAGGAGGCCAAAGTGTAGCCAAAACCATAGTAAAAACGATTTTGGCCTTCTCGCTGATGCCATCTTGGACGCTCAACCCCTGGTGGGAGGCCCCCTCCATTTCCAGGGGAGGGGTTAGGGGGAGGGGCCAAAACCTTTCCCGCCAGCAAGCTGTCTCGCTCACTCCCACCCGGCTCCACCGCAGACCCCATGTGCGCGACGCTGGGGCGAGTTGCGCCACGCGTACCAGGCGCGCCACGCGCGCCAGGCACCCTTGGACCCTGAGCGTGCCAGGCACGCCTGGCGCGCCAGATGCGCCACGTGCTCCACGTGCGCCAGGTGTGCTGCATGGTCCAGTCGCGCCAGATGCGCCACGTTCGGGGCGCGCGCAGAGTGTGCCAGGTGCGCCCACGCACGTGACAACACACATTGGGACACATTGTTCGTTTAATAAATTTATAACCCTTGTCGAAAGCCAATGCACAATTGCGGCGGTAAGGCCATCATGGTGCCTGTTGGGCTTGCGCACAGCAGGCAATACGCCAGCACCCCCGCCGTCCATGTCAAGAGCTAATGGGCAGTGATTCAGGGGTGGCCGCACGTGATCCAGATCTAGCTGCGAATTGCATATTGTTATGTTCTTTGGCAGGGGTGGTGGCTTTGCACACAGCAGGCAATATGACCCCCCCGCCGTCTCTGTCAAACAAATAATAATACTACGAAGTGCTCGCGGGGCCCACGATGATGACCCAAGATAGTGCCCCACCCCAATGTTTCCCCAGTACTGTTTCTTGACAAAGATGGTGGGGGGTTATCAGTGGTCCTGCTTGGCTGTCGGTCGCCTGGGGGAAGGGGTGTTTACTAATAGGGAACAATGATAGACCTTTCCCCGAAGGGGAAGAAAGTGGGTTGGAAGAGGACACCCGCTAAACCACTCACGCCCTCAAGGGCTGGTTGGATTCGAGTCTGGTCAGAACGCACCCCAGGAGAGGTCTGGGGAGTAGCAGTATCTATACCTTTTGGGTTCTCCTCCTCCTCTCCTTCCTCTTCCTCATTCTCCTCCGCTGCGCATCCTGCGTCGCATCGGCGCCGTCCTCGACCTCGATGCCCACGCCTACCCGGCGGACCCCCAGAGGTTTCCCGCTGGGATCACCACTGAGTTGCTGAGGGGATAGGGGGCTTAGAAGCGGATGCTAAGGAAGGTGATGTCTGGCCTAACCTGGCATCTAAGTCGGTAGCACGTGTTTCAAATGGCTTAGGGGATTGACGCTCTGGGCTGCGTGGGCTCCGCCTACGGCGATCTCAGCGGAGGCTCCTGGAGGCCCGCAGTGGCCGAAAACGCTTGCGGGCCCCCCAAGAAGCCCAGCTCCTCGAGCCCCGACCCTCGGAGCCGCGATCAGGGACGCGGTGGGCAAGAGCAGCTGGCCCCGCGGCCGCATCCTGGCCGCCTCGTGCGCTGGCTGGGTCTGGCGAGGTTTCTCCACGCTGCCGCCTCGTGGACGCCTCGTGCGCTGGGTGGGCCTGGCAGGGTATCGCCACGCTGCTGCCCGTGGCCGCTTCGTTGCCGCCTCACACGCTGGGTGGGCCTGGCTGAGTTTAGCGACGTTGCCGCCCGTGGCCGCCTCGTGCGTTGGCTGGAACTGGCGAGATTTCGCCACGTTTCCGCCCGTGGCCGCCTCGCTGCCGCCTAGTGCGCTAGGTGGGTCTGGCTAGGGTCGCCACGTTGCCGCACGTGGCCGCCTCGTAGCCGCCTCGTGGCCGCTTCGTGCGCTGTCTAGGTCTGGCGAGGTGTAGCCAGATTGCCGCCCGTGGCCGCCTCGTGGCCGCCTCGTGGCCGCCTCGTGCGCTGGGTGGGTCCGGCGAGGTTAGGTTTTCTGCACGCTGCCGCCCGTGGCCGTCAGGCGAGGTATCGCCAGGTTGCCGCCCGTGGCCACCTCTAGCTTGCACCACGCCTACTGCCCTACGTAGCTTGCACCACGTAGCTGGCACCACATAGCTCAAGCAGTGGCGAAGCGACCTGGCTTGCCTATAGCCCTACCAAACCATGTTCTTACCTGTTGTGGTTTCCACGAAATGTTCTTAGAAAATTTCTGGCTGGGATTGTCTCGTTTTAGCAAATCGGGCGTAAATTCTACTAACATGGTTTTTGTTCTTAGAACATCTTCGGGTTCTAAGAACATTTAGTGATAGGGCTATAGGAATGCCGGGACGGTCGGTCCCTGCTCAAATAGCTTGCACATCCACAGTGCAAGATCTTTCTGTCTGGAATCCACGCTGGCTAATATCCATGCAACGGTTAGCAGGATGGAGGACTATTATCTTGCAGAATGGAGTTCTCCCCTTGGAGCTCGCCAAGTTCAAGCACCCGAAACTTCGACGCACGTGATCAGCGCTGCACGGATCGCTGGCGGCTCATTTGCATCAGGGAATTGTCGCTTGAGACTTCGCTGGGGCTCATGACCACAAGGTAAGCCTTATGTAACACTTGCCATGACGGGGGGGATCTTCGAAAGGCTGTACACCCCGTTGAACTGTATGATCCATGTCTCTCGCGTTCCCGATGACGCGCCAGTCGCGTGCAAGAGACTTCATGTTCAAAGCAGGGCCCTCGCCAGGACGGCAGTCCCACCGCTGCCGGTCTTTGAAGGGGGGCGCCTCTTGTGGTGAAGAAGAGGGCCTGTACACCTACAGGGGCGTACGAGGAGGGGACTTCTGGTGCAGCACTGTTTATGCATAGTTTGTCCATTCTGATCTTGGGTCCTCCTTGACGGCGCGCCGAGCGGGGGAGGGAGAGGAGGCAGGCCTTCGCAGAAGACGGGGGGCCTTCCAAGAGAAGGCCTCCGGGGAAGCCCCCCCGTGGCTTCGGAGAAGGCCGAGCGGGCTCCCCAAGAGGCAGGAGGCCCCCCCTGAGATCGGCCGTCACGAAACATCGGCAGCATCGCAATGGAGCTCGACCCACGCCTCGGACCCATTTTTCGAGCCGGACCGATCCGTGAGGGGCCCTGGGCTCGACACAAAGTAGAAAGCCGTCCGTCGTCAGAGCACTGCAGCGCCAGGGTCTCAGGGTTTTGAGCCTTCTAAGAAGGCCCGCCAATCTCCTCGGGCTTGTCCTGCCCAGCAAGGTTTCCCCTCCTCCTCCTCCTCCTCCTCCTCCCTCCCTCCCTCCCTCCCTCCCTCCCTCCCTCCCTCCTCCCTCCTCCTCCTCCTCCTCCTCCTCCTCCTCCTCCTCCTCTCCTCCTCCTCCTCCTCCTTCCTCCTCCTCCTCCCTCCTCCTCCTCCCTCTCCCTCCTCTTCCTCTTCCTCTTCCTCCCCTCCTCCTCTTCTCCTCCCCTCCTCCTCCCTCTCCTCCCCCTCCCCCTCTCCTCCTCCTCCTCCTCCTCCTCCTCCTCCTCCTCCTCCTTCTCCTCCTCCTCCTCCTCCCCTTCTGTCCTCCTGCCCCCGTGGGCGCGCCACCAGTCTCCTCGGCCTGGCGGGGGGGGCTGGAGGGAGCGAGGCCTTCGACGCGTGGCAGCCGGTGGAGTCCCAGATGGCCCACTGCGAGAGCCTCTCGCAGGACCCGTGCGGCGTGTCGTCGTCGCCGCCGCCGTCTGCGTCGCCGTCTGCGTCGCCGCGGGCCCGTCGTCTTCGTTGTCGTCGTGGTTGCCGTCGCCGCTGCCGTCGTCGTCGCCGTCGAGGTTGTCGGTGTCGTCGGGCCCGTCGTGTCGGCTTCTGCGTCGTCGATGATGATGATGATGATGGTGCTGATGATGCTGATGATGATGATTATGATGATGCTGATGCTGATGCTGATGCTGATGCTGATGCTGATGATGATGCTGCTGCTGATGATGATGCTGATGATGATGTTGCTGATGATGATGATGATGATGATGATGATGATTATGATGATAAAGCTGCTGATGATGATGCCGATGCTGATGCTGGTGATAATGATGATGATGATGATGATGATGATGATGATGATGATGATGATGATGATGATGATGATGATGATGATGATGATGATGATGATGCTGATGATGATGATGATGGTGAGGAGGAGGAGGATGAAGAAGAGGCGGATGAATAATAGCACTACTCAGAGTAATCATAATAACAAGAAGAAGAGGAGAAGGAGGAAGGTGAGATGAGGTAGGAACACGAGGAGGTGACGTAATACAATGGGGATGAAGTCAAATCATGGGGGAGGAGGAGGGGGGTGGACGCATTCTGTGGGTATTAGGGGATTCAAGTAGGTTGTGCGGCGTTCAGTAGAAAGGATGTGGACGGGAGACAAGCTGGAGATGGAAGAGAAGGAAGGAAGGAGGAGGAGGAGGAGGAGGAGGAGGAGGAGGAGGTTCAGGAGGAGCAGGAAGTGGAATGGGAGGAGGAGGAGGAGGAGGAGGAGGAGGAGGAGGAGGAGGAGGAGGAGGAGGTGGAGATCTACCTTGGGAACACCATTCGGAACCTCGCCACCGTTGGATTCGCCTCGAAATTCTAGTCAGAACGCACCCCTGGAGGGGTCTGGGGAGTAGCGGTATATGTACCTTTCGGTCTCCCAAACTCTTTCTCTCTTCCTCTCCACTCCTCGAGGACATGCCTGGGCTTCGGCCGATGCACGAATCGAGCTCTAGTAGCAGCGCGGGAGCGTGCATAGTAACCATGCTGTGATGTGGTGTGTATGTGTATGTGTGTTATTGCGAGTCTTGTCGCAATAGTCTGCGGTATGATTTGAAGTGTGGGTACATCGCTGCCTATGGCGCCTCAGCCCCGAGTCCTCCAGGACGTCCCGGGCCTGGGGCCGGGGGAGCGCAGCGACGGCTCGCTGGACCTCGCGCGTCTGGAGCTGGAGCAAAACAAGCCCCCCACGGCGGCCCCGCAACTCCTGTGGGAATCATTGGGGGCCCTCTTGAAGGAGGAGAAAGAGGGGAATGAGGAAGAGGACGAAGAGGAGGGGGAGGGCACTGAGGAAAAAGAGGATGATAATATATCAAAAGGAGGAACAACAAGGATGAGGATGAACACACATGGACGGTGACAGGAGGTCCGTAGCAATTTTTCGGCTCAAGTCCGTAGCTGTGGCTGAGGACAGCGGCTCGTCTGGCTTTGGGGAGGGACGGCTCCAGACACTATCCCGGTCGGGCGGCCAGTTTTCGTGTATCTTCTAACGCTCAGATCCCGCGCGATTCTCGCAAGCTCTTTCTACGCAGTGTGAATGGTAGCAAGGATGTTCTTACCGGCTGGAAGGGACCGCGTTGGTCGTGCGGAAAGTGCAGTCGGATTGAGAGCTGGGCGTCGCCAGTTCGATGCATTTGCGGGGCTTCTTGAGCTCCTGTCACTCATGAGCAGGTCGTTGTTGTTGAAGGAGGCCGCAAGCCACCGAACAGCTCGGGCAAGCGGGCCAGTGGGCCACCCCTATCCAGCAGCGGGCAGGACAGCAAATCATCCAAGGAACTGTCGAAGCTGGCCCAGCCCATGTCGAACGAGCTGGCGCAGCTCAGCGCGTGGTGTCCAGCAACCCCAGCAGCTAGGCGCGAGCCCAGCGGCCCCCATCGTCACGGACCACGCCAAGAAGGTGTAGGCGCGCCGCCAACACTGGCGCAACTGCTTCAAGTACGCCACCACTGAGCGCGACCAGCAGCTGGCAGAGAAGAAAGTCCAGGATATGCAGAAGTTTGGTCACTGCCTCCAGATCTCCCGAGGCCTTTTCACATGCACATCTCTCAGCGCTTGTCCAACGCCAAGAGCATGGAGACCAATGCCCTCGGGCTGTCGGCGTCGCGCCGCGAGGAGGTGCAGAAGCAAACAGGCCTTGGACACAGAGTTCGCCGAGTTCGAGGTGGCAGCCAGCGGGGCCGCAGGTGCCGCGCAGAAGCTGCATGGGGGGGGGCCAAAACGATCTCCCAGCAGCAGTATGGAAGGACAGGCGACGCAGGCCCAGTGCTTGACCTCGGTGACATTTCTGGCCAGCAAGTCGAGAAGACAGGCGCAGGCTTCAAGGGCAAGTTCGACACGCAAAAAGCTAGCGGGGACCTTGACAAGCTCATCGGGCCCCTGCAGGTGCAAGCTGGTGCTCCCGTGGGCCCTTCTCGAGGGCCTGGCCCTGTTCCTGGGGTGTGCCTGCCGGCTGGCGAGTCCGATGGCGTGGGGCTCGACGAGGGCGCCCCCGCACCCGGGTCGAAGTTGCAGCGGCCCACGCTTCCGCGGGACGCGCGAGAGTAGGTGGCCGAGAGGGGGCGCGAGGCAGCCATCGAGCGCGCTGTCCAGGCAGCGATCGCATGGGCGACTCTAAGGGATGCGCCGCAAGTTCAGTTCCTGACGGCCGCCGCTGTCAGCGTGGCCGGCGTGGCGCGTCAGCGCGACGACTGCGCGGCGTTTTTGCGAGGCCAGGTTGGCGGCGCCAGGCTCGGCGAGGCGCAGTTAGCTGAGGCCAGGCTCTCCTTAGCCGCGGGCCAGTTCGGCGCGGCTGCCAGGTAGCTCGGATCCGTGGAGATGGAGTTCCGCGCGCGGGCCTGCGCCGGCGAGGTCGGCGAGCAGGGGCGTGCTTGTTCCCGGCAATGGCGGCGGGCCTGGGCCAGGGGCTCCGCGCTCAAGGGTGGTCGCGACGCACGGTTTTTTTTGTTTTCCGAGGCGCGCTCTGCGCTCGATGGCCCAGCTGGCTTTCGCGGCGAAGCTCTGCAAGGGGTTGCGGCCGTGGAGGAGACGCTGCCGCGTGAATGGCAGGGCTATTGTTTCGACGTCGAGGCACCGATGTCTGCTTCGGTGCTGGAGGTGGCCCATGAGATGGCATGGCCCAGGCCGATCTCGGTCAGGCTGAACCGTGCAGCCGCGCCGCGGGGCTCTGCGGCGACTGCCTGGGCCCGAGGTCGCGGGGGCTCTTCGACGGCGGCTTCTTTGGTCCGTCTTCTGGATCAGCTGGAGCATTGGGAGGCCGCCCCGTCGTGGTCAGAGCTCTGGCCGACCTTGGTCGTCTTTGTTGGCCAGGTAGGCGGTGGGTGGGGTGCGCAGCGCGGCGCCGATCGCCAGCCTGCTGCGCGCGCGGGGCCGCTCGAGGCAAGGCGTCGCGCAGAAGTGGGGGCGCGAGCGTATTTTGGCAGCCTTCCGGGGCTATCGCGACAAATCGTGCGACTGCGTTGGATGGGGTCGCAACCTGATGGGTTGCATTGGTCGCTGCATCGGCATGGAGTCGGGCTCGCTTATCACCGCCTTGAAAAAGGCCTGCGAACGCGTCTTGCGGTCGGCGCTTGACGGTGAGGCGGTGGGGCGCAGTTCCACCTGGAGGTCTCGTTCGCCGCTTGCGCCCTGTGCAGCGGGCCCCTTCGAGGGCTGCGTCGGCTCGGCGTTCGCGGCGCCTGACGGCGCGGCGTTGGCTAGGCGCAGCCTCGGGGCGACGATGGCCCAGGTCTTGCTGCGCCGGCTGTCTGCGGGCATCCAGCGCGATCCCCCGTCGGTTGCTCTCCGCGGCGTCGCGGGCGACGCGTCGGCCCGGGGCGTCGACGCGGGGGGTCTCGTCGGCGGGCAGCGGGCGGCAGTTTGTGGGAGGCTCGCCTCTGGATTTGCGCGCCCCCGCCTGGTGTTCTAGCCCAAGGGGCGTTGTTTTCTCAGCCTCCTGCCAGACCGTCGCGAATCGCTTGGCCACTGGCAGGGGTCTCTCGGTTTTGCCTTCGGAAAGGCGTCTCTCGTGACCTCGGGGCCGGCGCGGCTGGCGCAGGGCGCCGTCGTGCCCCGACTGCCGAGCGTCGGTTGTTCAAGGGGTGTCGTCGCGCAGGCAGATTTCGCTGCGCCGCGGCAGTGCGATGTTTTTGTTGGCAAGGTCGGTCTGGGATGGTTCCCCGAGCCTCGCGGTGCCTCAGAAGTGTGTCGAGCGCGTCCGCCCCCCGCCCCCAGGCGTTGAGGGGTGCCTGGGGGGGGGGGGGGGGGGGGGGTCGCGCGCTCGCTTGCCCATGTCCCGCGTCAGTCCTCTCCGAGTTGGGGCGGATGGGGGACTCTGCTCGATTCTTCGTGTCCGAGAAAGTAAAGAAGTTGGGCCTTCTGCGGTTTGCGCCTGGCTGGGTCATCGGGATGCCGGTGTAGCGCGCGGCCCTTGCTCGCCTGGACGTCGCCGCCCTGCCCCGCCCCCTCGAGGGCGGGGGCCTGGCTCGGGCCAATGTTTTGGAGGCCCCTTCGCTGGGGCACGGAGGGGGATCGGAGTGCGGCGCGAACTGGCCGCCACCAGAGTTAAGCGAGGCCCCTAGTCTCGATGGCCAGCTGGACCCGGCAGAAGCTGTGTGACCATGGGGTCGCGCCGTCTGGATTTTGCCTGGCGTGCCGCGGTGGCCCCGTGGCCTTTGATTACCCGTGGCGAGTCCGTTGCCCTGCTTGGCTGCATGGTCAGTGCGCCGCCGTGATATCTGCGAACCTGGAGATAACAGCGTTGCGTAAGGCGGAGTCCTCGGGTGAAGAAGCGGAGCTTGCTGCTTGCGGCGTTTGCCCCAACCCGATGGACCCGCCTCCTTCCCCGCTCTGTTCGTGCGACCCTGCGTCTCAGATGCGTCGGGCTACTCGCCCAGCTTCTGGCCCTTGAGCGGGATTGTCGTCGGAGGGTTCGGCCGTGTTGCGCGTGAATTCAGTCGTGGGGCAGGCTAGGCCGCGGTCTGGACCGACGAGCTGGGGCGGCCCCTCGCGCGCGCGCGCTGCCGCGCCAGCTGGCCTCGCCCGCGTTCGGCGCGCGAGGGGCGAAGAGGGCGTCGCGGTGTATTTTGCTTTCGTTTGTGCCAAACAGAGAGTCCGTTGACTTCTGCGTTGGCTGCCAGGGTGCGATCGATTGCCGCCCCGCGCATCTGTTAGCCCATGCCTCGTCGAGTCCTCGGGCGCGCATCTGGGCCCGGGCGTTCTACGTGTTGGCTCTGGGCCCGGTGGCCCGCGCGACTGAGGGCCGCGCGACCCAGGGCGATCTGGGCGCGGGGCGGACGGCGGCGTTGGAAAGGAAGGTAAACGGACGTGCCGATAGATTTGGCAGACGCGGCGTTATGTGTCACGCCGACACGTCTGCTGCTGAGTCGGACGTCGGAGGCTTGGCTCGTCTCGCCCGCTAGGGTCCCAGGAGGTCGAGATCGCGCGAGGAGCGACCTGGGGCTATCAGGATCCCGAGCTGCCGCTGTTGTCGCGGCTTCCCGGGCGCGAGTTTCAGGTTGCGTCTGGGTTCGGCAGGAATGGCGCCGCTGTTTGAACGGGGCCCAAGTGCATTCTCTTCATCGCCAGGGCTGGATGCGCCTGGCACCCGCGCTGTGCCTTGCTAGGCCGTGCCGTGGGAGGCCGCCCGCTATGCACGCGATGCGCCGTTTGACTCGAGTCTGGGGGGGGGGGGTCCCGTTTTGGGGGGCCCCGCATCGGGGTTGGCGTCTCGGGCCGCTTTGAGTGCACCCGGCCGCGGGCGGGCTGTCCCTTGCTGCCCCTCGCTGGCTTTGTGGAGCTTTGGCTCGATCCTGTCGCCCGCCCGTTCAGCCCGTCTGGGGTCCGAGGTGGTCGCGCAAGGACTTGCTGAGACGGTTCGGTGTTTCGGCTGAGCATATTGATGTTCGGAAGCGGGCGGGGCCCGAGCCCTTGTTGGATTGTGATTGGTTATTCGGGCATGCTCCCAGTTTCCTGGTTTGTGTTTGTTGTTCAGGCCCCGCTGACATCGTCGCGCGCGTAGCTCTCTCTACATATATGTATGATGATGACGGGAAGGGGGAGGAATGTGAGGTGAAAGCTGGAACATGGGACCAACGCTGTAGCGGGATCGCCATTCGGGAAACACCGAAAACGCCAGGATCTAGACAACTCACGCATGATCGACTTATCCCATGTTCAGAAGACCGCCCTGCCGAATTTGAAGTTGTCATGTCCACTGCTCGCGCAATCGTCCCACCCACCCACCCGAAAGTTGATTTGCTATACCCATGCGAGGGCGATTGCGAGAAGTGTTTGGTGTTGGTTGGGACATATATTCGGCCGCGCTTGCCCGCGCATGCTCGCGCGCGCATCGGCACGATAGTTCGGCGCTGCCATTGCGGCCGCGATGGCGCTGACCGTTGGGCACGTCCCAGCCACTACAGTGCGAGACGGCGGTTTGGGCGGGCACGGCATCATGGCGACGTCCCGAGGGAGGAGGAGGGAGGAGGCGGAGGAGGAGGAGAGGAGGAGGAGGAGGAGGAGGAGGAGGGAGGAGGAGGAAGAGGAGGAGGAGGAAGAGGAGGAGGAGGAGGAGGAGGAACGAGGAGGAGGACGGAGGAGGACGAGGAGGAGGAGGAGAGGAGGGGAAGCAGGAAGAGGAGGGGAGGAGGAGGAGGAGGAGGAGGAGGAGGAGGAGGAGGATGAGGACGAGGGGGAGGATAAAAGGGGAATAATACACAATAATAATACGAACGCTGATCTGATCAATGCCAGTATCACAACTCATCGTGCACTGCATAATCATAAGGCTAAGACAAGGAATGCGCATACCAATAACGGAAGTACCATTGGCATCTTGATAGTTTAAAGCATAGTAATACGAATATTAAGAATTCGGCTAACGGGGTTGGCGGGGTCGCGAGGGCATAGGAGTAGTGCCAAGTAATGAAGGCCTATGATGTGTACATGTTGTCATGGAAAAGGCCCACGGAGGCGAGGACAGGAAACAACATGATAGGGATGATGGATGTGTAGGGCGCGGTCAACAGGAGGCCGCGCTCGGCAACATTATTTCCAGCAGTGCAGAATGGGGACGGGGCCTGCCTAGAGGGGTGGGTGAGGGGGCACCAAGCCTTGTACATGGTATGGTTGTGGGATGCCCTTCTCGCTCGGGCGGAGCCTCCCTAGAGGGGTGGGGGGGCACGAAGCCTCGTACATACTGTGGTCTTGGGATGCCCTCCTCGCTCAGGCAGGGCCTGCCTAGAGGGGTGTTGGGGGGGGGGGGGCACGAAACCTTGTACATCGTATGGTTTTGGGGTACCCTCCTCGCTCAAGCGGAGCTTCCTTGGAGGGGTGGGAGGGGCGCATCACCTTTTTTTAATTCTGATTTTGGGATGCCGTCCTCGCTCGGGCGGGGCCTCCCTGGAGGGGTGGGAAGGGCACGACACCTTGAAAACAGCATGGTTTTGAGATACGTTCCTCGCTTGGGCGGGGCTTCTTTGGAGGGGTGGGAGGGGCACGAAACGTTGTAAATATGATGGTGTGGTGATACCCTCCTCGCTCTGGCGGGGCCTCCCTGGAGAGGTGGGAGGGGCACGCAACATTGTAACTATTATAATTTGGGGATGCCCTCCTCGCTCAGACCGGGCCTCCCTGCATGGGTGGGAGGGGCGCGAATCCTTGTAAGTATCATGGTTTTGGAATACCACCCTCGCTCGGGCGGGGCCTCCCTGGAGGGGTGGGAAGGGGCACGACACATCGTAAATAATATGGTTTGGGGTACCCTCCTCGCTCAGGCGGGGCCTCCCTAGAGGGCTGGGAGGGACACGACAATAATTACATACTATAGTACGTATGGTATGTTCGGGTATGTTATGCGAGGGTATGCTAGGGTATGGTATGGAAGGGTATGGGGGCGGGGCCTGCCTAGAGGGGCTGGGAGGGGCACGACACATTGTAAATTATATGGTTTTGGGATACCCTCCCCGCTCGGGCGGGGCCTCCGTGGAGGGGTGGGAGGGGCACGAGACCTTGTAACTATTATGGTTTGGGGATATCCTCCTCGCCCGGGCGGGGCCTCCATGGAGGGGGTGGGAGGGGCACGGAGCCTAATAAATTGTATGGTTTTGGGATGCCCCTTTCGCTCAGGAGGGGTGGGAGGGGCGCAACACTTTGTAACGATTGTGGTTTGGGGATACTCTCCTCGCTCGGGCGGGGCCTCCCTGGAGGGGGGGAGGGGCACGACACCTTGTAAATAGTATGGTTTGGGTCCCCTCCTCGCTCGGGCGGGGCCTCCCTGGAGGGGTGGGAGGGACACGAAACGTTCTAACTCCTATGGTTTTGGGGTGCCCTCCTCGCTCAGGCGGGGCCTGCTTAGAGGGGTGGGTGGGTGGGCACGAAACCTTGCAAATGGTAGGGTTTGGGGGCCTCCCTGGAGGGGTGGGGTGGGGTGGGGTGGGGGGGGGCACGAAACCTCGTAAAGAATATAGTTTGGGGATACCCTCCTCGCTCAGACGGGGCCTCCCTGGAAGGCTGGGGGTGGGGCACGAAACATGGTACATACTGTAGTACGTATGGTATGCTAGGGTCTGGTTTGGTATTATAGTCTGAATCGTATAGTACGTATGATATTGGTAGGGTTTTGCAGGCATGGCATGGTATAGGTGAAGGAAGTGTAGAAGGAGGAGAAGGAGAAGGAGAAGGAGAGGGTGGTCTAGGAAAACAAGAACCCCACCCGAGATGTGGGGAATAAGCGTACTATTATTGATCATATTCGTCGTATTGGTCATAAGACTCCTGTTAATAGCAAGACGACTACGAACAAACATGTTAATATTGATACCACTAATACGAATGCGCATACTAGTTGCAAAAATAAGCAATCGGAATTCATAATACTATGAAGCAACACACACAAACACTATGACTAAGACGAGGAGGAGGAACATGATCAGGAGAAGGAGGAGGAAGAGGATGAGGAGGAAGAGGATGAGGAGGACGAGGAGGAGGAGAAGGAGGAGGAGGAGGAGGACGAGGAGGAAGAGGAGGAGGAGGAAGAGGAGGAGGAGTCAGGAGAAGTATGAGGAGGAAACTGAGGAGGAAGAGGAGGAGAGAGGAAGAGGAGGAGACAGAGGAGCAGGAGGAGGAGGAGAAGGAGGAGGAGGAGGAGGACGAGGAGGCGGAGGAGGAGAAGGAGGAGGAGGAAGAGAGAGGAGGAGGAGGAGGAGGAGGAGGAGGAGGAGGAGCAGGAGGAGGAGGGGGAGAAGGAAGAGGGTTCCTTTGTGCTTCGCCCGACAGCGTGTCGAGGAGAGGGGGGGGGACCATCGGAGCGGCGCGACTGCCGTGGGGCGAGCTGAATTACCAGCGCCAGCTGGTGACGCGGGCGCAGCGGCGGCTGGACGAGGCCGCGCCAGCCCATCCCCCTGCAAGGGGGGGCCCCGGCGCTCCCGTCGTTCCTCGGTCAGCTTTAAAGCAAAAACGCAACGCAGCACACACTCCTTCATCTTGGGCGCCCACTGCTCCTGCCTCTCCTCCCCCTGCAACCACCGATCCTGCTCGCCCCCCCATCCACGCACTCCCCTTCCCCGCGTGTCCACGGCATCGCGCTCCGGAATCCAGGCCGCGAGGGCGTGGGTGCGCAATCAGGCGACCCCGAAAGGTGCGGTGACTGCACCGCAGAGTGAGTCAGTGGGGATGCGGGGTGACCGCGCTGTTTCGGGACTTTGGTCGTTCTCTGGGGATGTCTCTGGCGACTAAGGTCTCCACGACCCCAAAACCGATCCGTGACGGTCCGTGCTGTGAGGCCCCTCGGGAGTCCCAGGTCACCGCGCGGTTTGCCACCAAATGGTTTTGTGCATCCCAGATGGATCCGTTCGCCGACAGGGATCTTCCCATTTTCTCGACTGGGTCTGCAGTCGCCCGCAACGAGAGTTTCGGACGTTGGTTGCAGTGCACAGGGCCCCAGCTGTGCGCGGCTGGCAGCCGTGGCCGCCACTGGGGGCCTTCGGGGGGCTTGGGCCTGCGCTTTCAATATGGCAAGGTGACACCGCTCTTCCTTCTATTGCTCCACTGCCAACCCCGTCGCATCGTGAAGAAGTCACGCCTGAAGGTTTTTGCCATTTTCGGCTTCCGCCTCCCCCAGCAAACAGCCGACCTGGGATGTTTGAAAGCCGGCCCTGAGGAAGGAGCTCCGACTTCTGGGCAGCCAGCTGCAAAAATCGCGAGGAAGAGAGCAGACCGTCAAGACGCTGAAAACAAGACGCACTTTGGGTCCAGGAGGGGCCCCGATCTTGGGGCCGTCTCTTATGTCCTCACGCCCTCTGGTCGGGGAGCCTCTTCGTGGCCGAGGCTCTGCGAGGACACCAAGGCCTCCTTCGTTCCACATTCTGCGCTCCCTGGGGTAGCACGATGCCTGTACGGCAGGTCCGCGTCGTGTCGACGCGGCGGCGGCCCCGACGAGGGCGTCCCAGGTTGAACGACGCCAGTGGCCCACGATCGGCCAACACAGTGAACCCGCACAGGCAGGAGCAGGCGCAAAGGGGGCCTGGTGGTTTTTGTGCGTGTTATTTTTAGGGAGAAAGCCGATGCGATTCTCTCCCTGCGACTCCCTTTCGGTCTCTCTCTCTCTCTCTCTCTCTCTCTCTCTCTATATATATATATATCGTTATCCTTCATTTTCTCTATGTATTTCCATTTTTTTGTTTCTCTCTCTCTCTATATATATATATATATATATTTCGTGTTGTTCCTTTTTTTCTGCGCCAAAACTGCGCGGAACCGTCTTCCGCCTAGCCGAGAGCACGGCTTCGCCTTGGAAGACTCATGAAAGGACACCGCGTGCGCGTGAGCGCATCAAAATTTTATAATATGCATCGCCCGTATATTCAATCACTCCAGCGGGCAGGCGGCGGCAAGGGCGGCAAACGGCACGAAATACGTGTTTCCCCAATCCAACGTCTTGTGCGCGTTCATCTTGCGCCACTTCAGCTCCGCCAGCAGCGCGCGCCACTGTTCTCGGTCCGAGTGGCTCGGCATTCTACTTTCGCAACGGCGGCGAACCCAGCGTTTGACCACGGACCACACGGCCTCGATGCCGTTGGTTGTGAACCCGCTCGGGTTCACAATCTCGCCCGCAGAATGCACGACGAGCTCGTGGCGCAAGTCCTTCACCGTCCAGCGCTTGAGCTTCTTGAGCTCCTTCACGGCCGAGATCGTGGCGCCCCAGGAGTCGCTGACCAGCACACTGCCCTTCTTGAGGCCGAGAAGGTGCATGTTCGTCAGCATCTCGTCGTGCCCCCGCGGCTTGCCGTTGAAAGCGTCCAGGGGGTGGTCGAGGACTCGGAAGAGCCAGACATCAGGGCGGCCCTGGACAGTTGCACCCCGCACCCACACCTGATCTTTCTGGGGGCGCGCTGCTCGCACAAGTCGACCAGGTTTCCGCTTGTTCAGGTGCGCTTCATCCACTTGGATGACGATCTTGTAGTTCTTGATTTCGCTCTTCTTGCGGAGGCCCACGCCAGCGTTCCTCCGAACGGCGGCCGCTTTGGCTACAGCTCGGACCCTGGCGCGGGATTTCGCCTGAGCGCTCCTCCTGAAGTGACCGCTCGCGCCCCTCTTCCGCTTCGGCTTCTTGCTCGTTTTCGGCCAGAATCCGTTCGATGCCATGGCCGCGTGGAGCGCAGACGCAACCTTGGTCTGAAACGTAGAAACCCACCTAGCGATCACGCAGTGGTGGCGCCCAGACTCTCTCCCTATGACCAGCTTGGGGTAGTCGAACAGCCACATCGTCATCGCATCCAAGAAAGCCATCCACGATTTTCACTGCACGCCTTCGAAGACGGTGCCTTTCGTCATAGACTTGTGGCTCTCAGGCTTGCACGAATCACACGTGTAACTCCAGTCACGGCACCGCCATGCCCATGCGCTCTTGTCCTTGCGGTGCACGACGTCATAATCATTCCCACCGCAGCACGGGCACGTGCACTTGTCGGAGATGAAGCCCATCACCTGCGCGAAAATGAGGGCGAGCAAAGAGGGCGCATTCGCGTGCGACCCAGTGTCCGCGATCCTTGCGTGCTTCACCAGGCGCAAGAAGTCCTCGCGGGAATTGACGTCTGGATGTTGGCATACTGCGCCATGGCGCCGCTGGGCCTGGCGGGGGGCGGCGGGGCGCGGCGGGGCGTCCTAGCGACGAGGCGTTCAATGCGAAATGGCGCTGCTTTCGACCCAAAACGGCTGCGGCGGGCCGAGAGAGAGAGAGAGAGAGAGAGAGAGAGAGAGAGGGATATATATATATATAGAGAGAGAGAGAGAGAGAGAGAGAGAGAGAGAGAGAGAGGGAGAGAGAGAGGGATATATATAGAGAGAGAGAGAGAGAGAGAGAGAGAGAGAGGAGAGAGAGAGAGAGAGAGAGAGAGAGAGAGAGAGAGAGAGAGAGAGAGAGAGAGAGAGAGAGAGAGAGAGAGAGAGGAGAGAGAGAGAGAGAGAGAGAGAGAGAGAGAGAGAGAGACGGCGGCGAAGCGGGGGGGCAAGCGGGGGCCAGGGAAGGATGAACGAAGGGGGGCATGGCGAGGGCGGAGCTGCAATGCGTCGGTCATTGTTTTCCTATTTGCGTCTGGTAGATGCCCCGCGTTCCCACGGGGAAGTCCGGAACAATTGGGAACTATTATGCAGTCGCGAACCTTCTCTCAATAAATATATATACCGTCGGGTCTTCTGCGACGCGCAGATCACCCAGCGGGCGCGCTCCGCCGCCCTCACTTCCTATTTTTCGCTCAGAACTTCTCACACGTGAAGCTGACTCTGGCCTTCTCGCCGACTTTGGCCAGCACGTCGCGCAGCTTGTCATCGTTGTCCAGCGAGTCGAAGCGAACGATCAAACCGTCGAACATGTACACGAGAACCTGGACACACTCGCCGAACTCGCGGGTCAACGCCTGGTGGGCGTTCATGATGAGCTCGTCTTCGATTGCGCTCAGGGCATAATGCAGTCGAGTCGCCATGGGGAAGCGCCGATCAGCGAACTTCGAGTTCAGGTGATTGAACCGCGGCTTCTCCAGGATCTCTCGAGCCGCTGTGCTAAGCTCGACTGCGAGCGACCACAGTAAGTGCAGCTCAGCCTTCGGCTCGCCACAGTGGAGGATGCTGATGAACTGCTTCTTGGCCTCCTTGAGGGTGATGTCCAAGTAGCTTGCCAGCAAACTGCGGAAGCCAAGCGGGTTGCGAACATGCGCAGTAAAGGTCTCGTACTCGATCTCAGTGCCACTGCCCACAACGTCGTAGAGCTCGTTTCACACAAACTGCATGAACGCGTTGACACAGTCAATGTCGTAGTTCTCGAAGACGTCGCCGTACGAAGCGTCGACGTCACACTGCGAGCGGAACGCGTGCTTCTTGAGTGCCGTCTTGAGGCCCTGTGCGCTCGGGCTGCGCGCGTACTCCCTCCCCTCCATGTCGTACTTCCTGTAATAAGTGACGGTGAGGCTTGAGAAATCACTCTTCCGAATGCCGTTCTCGTGGTGGCGCGCGATGTAGCGCCTGGCGTAATCGAGCTCATTGCCCAGCTTGTTGCCAACTTCGTTCTCCGAATCCACGATGTCAATTGTCTCCGTCAGGCTGCGAGCAACCTCAGAGGCGACCAGCGCCTCCACATCTACGCAATGCTCCTCGCCCTGGCTGAAGTCGCGGAGCTGCGAGCGCAGGTTCCAATGCACGCCCCGCCCTTCCAGGCCCCCCGCGAGCGAGCCGCGGCCAGCTGCGTCGAGGAGGGCCTCGAGAAAGTTCAGCTTGACGTTCAGCCTAAGCACGTTGCTTCGGTCGATGCGGAAGATGTAGGGGTAATCTTTGACTGCGTCTTCGAAGTGCTGCTGCCTCGACTTGCCGCTCCTCTTCCCCGTGATGGTGCCAGGGATCGGGTTGTCTTTCTTCTTCGCGAGGTCGTACATTTTGATGCCGAGGCAATCGTCACCGAGCCACGCGCGAACCTCCATCAGCAGCGTCTTAGCCCCCTGCGCAACGCGCTGGCGACCGCGAGCGTCCATCCATTCCTTCGGGAGCTCCAACCCACCGTTCGCCATTTGGGCCACGCCGCGCTGAGTCGCCTCCACAACTTCAGCGGAAGGGTTCTCGAGGATCTGGCGGCACTTCTCAGCGTTCTACTTTTGCATGAAGGGGATGAGGTCGGGCCGGATGTAGACGAGACGGGCTCTTGGACTTTCCAGGAATGCGGTAAACATCTTTTTCGTGGAAAACCGTGCCGTCGACGTTCACCTTGGAGGGGTCGCTCGCGAACGCGGCGCCGAGCTCGATGACGGCGAGGCGGCGCCAGAAGGACCGCAGCGAGTGCATGTTGCGCCAATCGCCTCGGATGGACGGGTGGGCGCGGTTCCACCCGAAGTACTTCGCGCAGCGGAGCCAGCTGAACAGGTCAGTACTTTTTCCGAAGTGGGCTCGGCAGGCAACGTATTCACCACTGAGCCAGCGATTCACCACGTCCTCGATCCACGGCGCGCCGCCTTGATTCTCCTGCGCCGTCGCAGCTCGGGCACGCGTGAAATGCTTCCCTTGTTTTCGGAATTCCTCGGGGACTTGCAGCGCGTCGCTCGAGGCGAAGTGGTGGTGCCCCCCCAGCGCGTTCGCCCGCAGGGCAGCCTTGGCAGATTTGGCGTTGCCGCCGTCGCCTGTCATGATCAGGCCAATCTGCGGGGAGGGTACGTCGTACCACACTAATGCTTCTGCTGCCGTGTCCATCCTGCGACCCTCGGGGTTCCCAGCGAAGGAAGTGCACAGGAACAAGCGCATCTCCTCCTCGTGCTGCCAAGATGGCTTGTAGTCCAGCGACGCAGGCACGCCCAGGTAGCAATTGTTCGAGGGGCTCTTCGGGACAGAACGGGACCATTCTTCCGCGGACCCCTCGCGGGAGATTTTCAAAGTGACGTTCTGCGGGTTGACGAAGGCGCCCTCGGACGTCGGCTTCGGGATCTGGAAGAATTGGCCATGTGACTCTGTGAACTCAGTGCTCTTGCCTTTGGCGGAGTAGCGCTGCGTGAGGTCGAGCGTGACGCGCCCGCCCTCCTTGGACCAAGCGGTCGGGTCTTCCTGGCGGGACCGACCGAAGTCAGCGTGGCACGCAGCGGTGTTGTTAAAGATCGATTCGTGGTGCTGCCCGACTTCCTGAAAGACAGCCGCCACGTCTCGCTTTGTCTCCCTGGAGACGAGAAATGCAAAGACTTTCGCCGCGCAGCCGAGGACCGCCAATATCTTCCTGATGTACGGGTACTTGATCTCCTCGACAAACGCCCAGTCTCCATTGCCGTACAAGTAGACGCCGTCCTTGTGGGCGCGGAAGCTCTCCCCGCACAGCAGGTCGATGACGCGCGTGGCCAATATGTCATTGGAAGCGCTCCAGACGTGATCCTCCTTCACATACATCGCCACGACGTTCATGGCAGACTTCACCACTTGATTCGGTTGAACCGTCCAGGAAGAAATCAAGTTCTCCACCTCGTCCTTCACCTTGTCATTCGCCTCGCGCAGGGTCTCCTCCTCGGGCAGTACCTGTGGTTCGAACTCGATCGGGCGCATTTGATCGACAAGCTGGGCGAACTCGTCAGGCTCCCACGCTTCGATGACCCGCTTCACTGCGGCGGACCGAGAAGGCGGGCGAACTCCAGAGTCATCGGGCGTAGGAGCATTCACTATTCCTTCGCCAAGCTCTCTGGAGTACTGACTCTCGGCCATCCCCGGCACCCCGCGCCGCGGAGAAATGCGCCTGCGAGCAGAGGGTGCCTTGAAAACTTGAGCCAGGGTGGCGACTGAGAGTGTGCTATCGTCCGATATGGTTATCCTGACGAGGCCGCCTTTTAAGTAACAAACTCTAAATACAAGAAGTAATATCGATTTCTAGAATTTCCGTCTGCTGGCGCTGGTGCTGGCTTTGTGCACGATCTTGATTCGTAGGGACGTTCTGTGGCGTGGCTGCCATTGCCTTATACGCGTGCTTTTTGGTGTCCCGAGGCCTGGTTTTAATTAGACAACCATAAATACAAGAAGTGTTACCGATTCCCTAGATTTCCATGCGCTGGCAGATCTACTGGTTCCCCAATGTATTTCCGATCGGAAGGCTCCCCCAGAAAAGGCGTTCTTGGTTCTGGTTGTGCTCTTGCTCCGACCCCCCTCCTCCTCCTCCGCCTCCTCCTTCTCATCATCATCATCATCCTCATCATCAGCATCATCCTCATCATCGACATCGTCGTCCTCCTCCTCCTCCTCATCATCATCATCATCGTCATCCCTCTCCTCCTCCTCCTCCTCCTCCTCCTCCTCCTCCTCCTCCTCCTCCTCCTCCTCCTCCTCCTCCTCCTCCTCCCTCCTACACCGAATGAGTGCGAGCCGAAGCACGCCATAGAGGAACCGCCTCAACACCTCAATTCCACTATGCCCCGGCCTCCGGAGGTCCGAAAATACCCCTTGAAGGGCACTGGGTCTTAGACGCACACATTCCAAAAAGCATAGTTTCCTGCTTCAATGCTACGAAAAAAATGCATAGATCAATAAGCCCCGCGGCACGAGCCCCGAAGGGTTCCAAGACGATACCTGTGAGCCTTCGCGGGTGTCGGCCTCCAAGACGATACCTGTGAGCCTTCGCGGGAGTCGGCCTCGCAAAAAAATTGCGTTAGTGGCCCCTTATTACCCATGGGGCAGAGAAGCCAATGATTGGGAGACGGGACAGAGAAACTTTTCAGTTACCCTCTCCCCTAACTGAACAAGGAAACTTTTCAGTTTCCTTCTCCAGTGAGTTGGAGACGGGACAGAGAAACTTTTCAGTTTCCCTTTCCCCTAACTGAACAAGGAAACCTCTCAGTTACCTTTTCCAGTGAGTTGGAGACGGGGCAGAGAAACTTTTCAGTTTCCCTCTCCCGTAACCGAACAAGGAAACTGTTCAGTTTCCTTTTCCAGTGAGCCTGCAACGGCAAAGGAAAACTTTTCAGTTTCCTTCTGCCGTAACCAAACAAGGAAACTTTTCAGATTCCTTCTCCAGTGAGCCTGTAATTGCAGAGGAAAAACTGTTCAGTTTCCCTCTGCCGTCGGGGCAGGGAAACTTTTCAGTTTCCCTTCCCCCGTACTGAACACAGAAACCTTTCAGTTTCCATGTCCAGGACCGACCAGGAACACTTGTCAGTTTCCCTGTTCGGCCGATGGTTCTGTCTATCGCTCAATACGACTGGGAGGCATCCCAAGAGGCAATCATATACATCAAAGAAGCCTTTGGGCTTCAGCGCTAGTGACACGAGCCCCGAAGAGTTCAGCGCCAGTGGCGCGACCCCCGAAGGGTTCAGCGTAAGATTCAATTCTCTCCTCCTCTTCCTCCTCCTCCTCCTCCTCCTCCCCCTCCTCCTCCGAGGAAACACCAGAGGCATCCACGATCATCTCATAAGCGTGCCCGCAGCCCTTCCTCGCCAGCATTGGATTCTCTAGTTTTCCTGGTTTTCTTGATAGGCGGGCGCGTTTTCTTGATTTTTCATTGTGTTTTCTTGGTTTTCTTGGTTTTCTTGATTTTCTGTGCTGCCTCCCAGGGGGCCGTCGGCAGGCCTGGAGTCTTCGGGGGCCCGCGGGCGGGCCAGGAAATCAAGAAAACCAAGAAAACCAAGAACACACAAGGAAAAATCAAGAACACGCGCCCGCCAATCAAGAAAACCAAGAAAAACATTGGTTTTCTGTGTTCTCCGAACCCCAGGGGGGAGAGGGGGAGAGTGAGGATGACGAGAGAGATAGATAGATAGAGAGAAAGAGAGAGAGAGAGAGAAACATGAAACCCTCGGAGGGCCGAAAGCCCGTAGACTCATCCAGTCTTGAGCTGAGAAACGAGACGCACAAAAACCACCAGGCCCCCTTTGCGCCTGAAGCCCAGGAAGTGTGGCCCATCTTCCAAACGGGTACACCTGCATCCTTCCGCTTCGGCCCCTCCTCGGCCGCTCTTGCTGGCCGCGCCCCGCTCGCAAAGTGTCGGCATGGCCTTCCCAGGGCTCGTTTCGACCTCTCCGATTCGATTCGATTCGAATTCGATGGCTTCCGACCCCGATTCGATTAGACTTCGGATTCCGATGTGGGATCCGCTTTCTCCATGGAGGCCTGCTAGCCTGCCGACGTTTGCCGATTCGACTTCTTCTGGCTCGGCTGCCGATTTCCATCGATCCCCTGGCATCGCTCGGACGTGTGTTTTTTTTTCTCGGCGAGGACCATCCAGGACCATCCTGGACCATCGAGCAAAAAGAACACGCACGACACCGAAAAATGCACGGGAAATGGACGTCCGAGCGATGGCGAGGATCCCATTCGTGGCGATCGCCGATCCGACCTGTCGCTTCGATTCCGGGCTCTCCTGCCTCCCGGGGCCCTGCCGCGCATCCCTCTTGAATGGGCTGGCTGCAGCAGGCGCGACTCAGGAGGGGAAGAAACACACAGACACAATTCATCGTCGATTCCCAGAACAGATGGGGGAATATGAGAAGTGGGGGGGAAGACAGAAACCCAGAAAATGCATGGGAAGCTATGGGGATGTTTGTTTTATTTGTGTGCGTTTCTTTGTGTGTCCCAGGGCCCCTTCGGCGAAGGAAGCGGCCGCGCCGCGCCGCCTGCCCCCGGCGGCCGCCGGGCCTCCGCCTGCCCCCGGGCCTCCGCGATGGGGGCTCCTGCGCGGCCGCCCGGGCCCCCGACGTCCGGGAGCGGCCAGGAGGGGGGGGGGCGAGGGCGAGGGGGGTGGTGGGCAGCACGGCCAGGGCCACGAGATCTCCCCCTCAGACTCGTGGCCCCTCCGCATGGCCACGAGTCGGGGAACAGAAAGTGACATAAACATAAAAACTCTGAGGTCCGCGCGGATTTCTCGGATCGGCGCTGAACCCCCCTCCCTGGCGCGCGGAGCGCGCCAGGGGCGGCGCCAGAGGCGCCGCCGGGGGGGCCCCAGCGCCGATCCGAGAAATCCGCGCGGACCTCAGAGTTTTTATGTTTATGTCACCTTTTGTTCCCCTAATGAGATCTCCCCCAGACTCATGGCCCCTCCTCTTATCTCAAAACGTTCCCTGGCCCCCCCCCCTGGTCCGCGCACATGCCTCGGGCCATGATTTGCACCGCCCCCGCCCTTCTTGGACGCCCCCGAGACGTGGCGTTTTTCTCGGAGGGCCCTTCGATGGAGGGTCGATCGAGCCTCGCTTCCAAGGCCTGCATCGGTACGACTGAGATCAGGGAACGAACAGCGACATAAACATAACAACTCGGATGTCCGCGCGGATCTTTGAGTTTTTATGTTTATGTCATTGTTTGTTCCCCGATCAGATGGGTTCGGAAACAGTAGGGGCTAAGATCAACAGCACATCTTGTTCACTTTACAAACCACATTCGCTGTCGGCGTCGCCACGAACCTTGTCCGTTCGATGCGCCAGGCCGCCTACGCAACCGCGGCCGCCGTCGGTTTTGGGCAGCGTTTGCTGTTGGGCAGTGGTCCCATCTCTGTCCATGCCGGGCGTTCCAACGGTCTCCTCGATCGATCCTCTCCCTCGACGGTGCAGCTTCTTCGTGACGTCAGCCCCGAGTCGGGTGTTGCTAGAAGTGTCCCTGGCCCAAGGTGCCCCCAGGATTTCCAAGGAGGCCCCCCACGGCCTCCAGAGCACCCCTCACGAGGCCCAGAAGGCCCAGGGGCTCCAACATTGAGCGAAAAGCTAGGGGTACCTTGGGCCAGGGGCACCTTTAGCAACCCCCGACCCAGGGGTCCCGACACGTCCCCGTGTCCGGTTCCCTCTCGTGCCGACCAGTGTTTCTTGGCGGTCCTTTCCGGGGCCTGGGCGAGGGCCCCCACGGGCCGAGAGCAGGGCCACAGAAAGTCCCCGCGGAGCGTGATCCCACATCGGAGCGTGCGCGCGAGCGCCGACGGCTGGCACTTCCCTTGGTTTCATACGCCCCTGGCGGCGCCGGCCGCGTGCGAACCTGATGATGATGATGATGATGATGATGATGATGATGATGATGATGATGATGATGATGATCATCATGGATCGCCGAGAGGGGCCCGATAGACCCAACCTGCCCCAGAGCGTGCGGATCCACTATCGGAGCCCTGTCGTCGATCTATGGGCGACGTATCGCCGACTCCGGGTCGATGTGCCCCCCCTACAGTGGAGACCCGTGCCAAGAAACATCTTGCTTGCCTCCAGGGGGCCCTGGGTTTCGATGGCTTTGCTGTGGAAAGCGTGGCGCTCCCGCACCAGAAATCCATGGACGTCCTGGGGTCTCAGTGACGATGACGATGACGATGATGATGACGATTATGACGATGACGAATCGTCATCGTCATCTGCACCGTCATCGTCATCGTCATCGTCATCATCATCATCATCATCATCATCATCATCATCATCATCATCATCATCGACATCGACATCGACATCGACATTGTCATCGTCATCGTCATCTCATCGTCATCGTCATCGTCATCGTCATCGTCATCATCATCATCATCATCGTCATCATCATCATCATCCTCATAATCATCGTCGACATCGTCGTCGACATCGTCGTCGACATCGACATCGTCATCGTCGTCATCATCATCATCGTCATCATCATCATCATCATCATCATCATCATCATCGTCGACATCGACATCGACATCGTCATCGTCATCGTCGACATCGACATCGACATCGTCATCGTCATCGTCATCTTTATCGTTGTCGTCATCGTCATCGTCATCGTCATCGTCATCTTCATCGTCTTCTGCCAGTCCCCCCCTCCCTCCTCTTTGCCCCCCGCCCCAGGGCGGCGCCTGCGGCCCGCTCTCCTCCGGCGGCGCGGGCCGCCGCGGGGGCCCCGCGGAGCTCTCCGGGGAGGGGGGGGGGGGGTGCCCGCGGCCTCCGAGGACGTGCGCGCGGCACGAGCGTGAGGGCGGGCCCGTCCCTCGACAGGAGGAATATCCGAAATTCTCAAAGAGTAGTCTGGAGTCGACTTTCGACCATTCGTGACAAATTTCGAATATTTTGGGGGAGAATATGTGATTTTTCGTCCAGACTCCGCCTGTAGGGAGACGTGCCCGACCTGACACGAGCGGCACGGGTGCGGAGAGGACGGGTGCGAAGGCCAGCTCGCAGAGGAGCGGACGGGCTGTAAGGCAGCGAGGGCCGGCTCGTAGGAGGAGCACGACGGGGCGAGGCCGTGGGCGCAGGGGGGGGGGGAGGGGACGAGGGGCGAAGGGAACAGGGCGAGGAGAGGGCGGGCAGGAGGGGGCTATAGAGGAAGACCACTGGGCATCAGCAGGCCTTCTCGAAGCTCCGCGCGGATTGCGCGGATCTGCGCCGGGGCCCCCCTGGGGCGGCGCCTCTGTCGCCGCCGCTGGCGCGCGGAGCGCGCCAGGGAGAGGGGTCCAGCACAGATCCCCCAAAATCCGCGCGGGCCGTCGGAAGTTTATGTTCACGAACGGTGTTTCTGCTTCGAGGCAATTCTTGTCCATTTGAGCAGGGTCCGCTGTCTGCGTCGCTTCGGACGTTGTCCACTTGAGGCAGAAGGCCGCCTGCCCAGCAGCGGCCGCTGCCGATTTTGGACGAGAGCTGTTGCTGGGTATCGTACCCATTTGTGTCCGTACCCATCTCGGCCGTGCCAGTGATCTGTTCAGTCCCGGCATTCCCATGCCGTATCATCCGTTACCGAGAATTTACTGCAACGCTTTGGACGAACCGGTCGCGATCGAAGTTCGTCCACCGGTCCCGAATTCCGGTAACGAGCGAACCGTCAATGTTTTCGAAACCTTCGCTTGGAACCCGACGCGCCGCGTCGTCTCTGAGTTTCCGAAACTCGACCCGCTCTTGTCGCAACCAAAATTTGCTGGCACGACCGAACCTGTTACCGAAACTTTCCAGTCGCGGATGGTTTGGGATGACATCCGCTCGTTGTGGACCATCATAGACTTGGTGGGAAAAATTGGTCCCTCTGGGGAGTCACGTAGTGAAACAAGAACACGACGGAGGATATCTGGGTACTTCCTCGATTTCGGCCCCCTGGAGCCGTTGGAGGCACTATTTGGGCGCCGGCAGAAGTCTGCGTGTGTGGGTGAGGACCGTGGCCGTGGCCGGGCCCCCAAGGAGATGTGGACCTCACGCAAGTCGGGTCCCACTTGCATGCCTTCTCGGCCCAGCGCGGTGTGAAGATGGCGGCGGAGGGGGAGGCTGGGGGGGGGCGGGGCAAATGCACTCCTCCTTGTCGTTTCTCCAATGCCCTGGCAGCCAGCCCCGACAAGCAGGCCGTCCAGCCTCCCGATCTTGGGCGGTTTCGCTGCTCGCAATTCGCAGGTGGGCGGAGCTGGTCTGAGCGCAGGCGCCGTGGGGACGGAGTCATGCAAGTAGACGTGCCCGAGTCTGCAGCACGACGCCTTCCTCTGTGGCCCCGGGGCCCCCCAGAGATGGGCCCCCTGGGGGCGGGGGGGGGCGGCGGGGAGGGGGGGAGGGGCGGGGGGGCAAATGCCGTGCAGGTAGACGTGCCCGAGTCTGCAGCACGACGCCCTCATCTGTGGCCCCGGGGCCCCCCGGAGAGGGGCCCCCCTGGGGGCGCGGGCGCGTGCCGCTCCCGGAGCATGGGCCCGGACCGCCTGCAGGGGGGGAATCCGCGGCCTGGAGCTAAATCGGGCCTGTCCCCCTACCAGGGGGATTCTTGACGACAAATTTTTAAAAATACACCAAAAATAATCAAAGAATGGTCCAAAAGTAGCCTGGGGACTATTTTTTAATATTTTTTAACTTTTTTTCGGGGGGGTAAATTTTTCGTCGGAAATCCCCCTGTAGGGGGACAGGCCCGATATAAGCCTGGAGCAAACATCACGTCGTCAGATATGGTCGTTTTCTTCTCCACTGTTTTGCCGATCGGCGCGAGCCCTCGAACCCCCTCCCCTCCTCGTGGAGCAGGTCTTGGGTGTTTGGGCGCCTGTCTCGAGCAGGCGGGATCTCCCCAAGAGGACGCGCTGCTGCAAACAGTTGCACGAAGCATGGGTCCAGAGCCAGACCCCCCCCCTCCCCCCAATGTCGAAACGCCGACTAAGAAAACGCTCACGATCGAATGCGGGGTTCCTCGCTCGGGCTTCTGGAGCTGTGGTCGGGCTCCGGCGCCATCAGAAACCGACCTGGCGCGGAAGACTGGGCCCCCTGAAGGGCTCGGGGTCAAGTCAGGCATGTCCCTCTACAGGAGGAATATCAAAAAAGAGTAAAAAATAGTGGGGGACGATTTTTGCGGGTTATTTATGACTATGTTGTGCTAGTCGTTGATTTTTTTTAGTTTGTCTTGCAACATCCGCCTGTAAGAGGACCTGCCCGACCGCAGGGTCGAGAGGATCCAAGAATCTCGGGCATCCCAGCTGGGGTTCGGGTAGATAGGGTTCCCTGAGATCCGACGTGGGAACAAACATGCGACAACATCGCAGAAAACCACGCCCGGCCCCCGAGCCCCATCTCTGTGGGCCATTTGTTCGAGCCGACTGAACCTGTGAGGGTCGCGGGGCCCGAGCGAAAACGCCCGGGTCGATCTCAGGGGATGTGCTCCGAGGGTCGTGCCGCGCCATGCGTCGGCGATGCGTCGGTGATGCACTGGCGACGCCGGCGGTGCCTCGATGCCATCGGCGTGGAGAACACCGAGGCCTCCGTCCAGACCTCGGGCCCCGGGGCCAGCACGGGTCGAGACAGCCCGAGAGTCCTGCACTGGAGCCTGTTTTTTCAATTCTGGGGCGATGGCGACCGTCACCAGTCGGGGGGGGGAAGGGGGCTGGTGACGTCACGCTTCGCGCTGGCGGCGTCTGGGAATGCTTAGGAACGACCGAGGACGGGTAGGAGCAGCATGTATCTGGCGATCTGCACCACAGCGCCTGTGTGAACCACAGTGCCTGCGTGCACCACGGCGTTTGTGTACACCACAGCGTGTTATGAACGCCACAGCAGCCCTGTGCAACACAGCGCCAGTGTGCACCACAATGCCTGCGTGCACTACACCGCTTGTGTACACAGCAGCGCCAGCGTACACCAGAGTAGCCGTGTGCATCACAGCACCAGTGCACACAGTGCCTGCGTGCACCGCACATCCTGTGTACACCACGGCGCCTGTGTGACACAGCAGCCGTGTACAACAGAAACAAAAACCATTGTTGCACATAGAGTTGCAAAAGGAATGCATCCGTATGAGCAAATGGAGCGCCTGTGAATTCCACAAGGAGCGATTCTTTTAAACACGTGTTGTAAAGGAACGCTTCCGGAATCGGCGAGTGCATTTGAAGAGGATGAGGAGGAAGAGGAGGAGGAGGAAGAAGAGGAGAAGGAGTAGGCGGAGGGGGAGGAGGAATTGGAGGAGGAGGAGGAGGAATAATAATAATAACGAATATGACGAATCAATGAAGTAATAGTATGCAGATTACGAATACGAATAATAAGAATCATACCAATACTACTTACAATCATAAGGTTACTAAGAAGCGTAATCAGATGACGAATAAGAAGGATAGTCGTGATAAGCAGACGAATAATAATTCAGAAATAATAGTCGGAATACTAATAATAGCACTCAGAAGCGGAATATCAACAGGACGAATCAAACACATAATAATAAGAGTAATACTACTCGTAAGAAGACTAATATTAATCATCGTCATACTACTACTATAAAGAAAAAACAGAAGAAGAGGAGGAAGAAGAGGAGGGAGAGGAAAAGGAGGATGGGGAGGAGGAGGGGCAGGAGGGGAGGAGGCGAAGGAGGAGGAGGAGGACGAGGAGGAGGAGGAGGAAGAGGAGGAGGACGACGAGGAGGAGGAGGAGCAGGAGGAGGAGGAGGAGGACCAGTGTAAACCCAATAGTCATCAACGATGTTGAAGTGAACCCTTCCTCCAAGCTCCCTTTTCATAGGCCCCTGCAACGGTTCATTTCCATTGATGGAGCTGCCTCGTTGGAAGACACCCGTTTGAAGACCCTGAAGCCTGCCAAAACATTGTTCTCGGGATTCCAACGCCACGGACCCCAATCTGATTGTTGCGTTTTCGACGATCCTTAATCGCCCCAGAACGCCATTCCTAGCACTCCAACACAGAGAATCAACGTAATTGTTGCGCCCGCATAATCGGGAATCCTTCCAACACGCCATTTCTGGTACGTCGATGGTGGGATGCCGTGAAGCTCTGGCAAGTGTTTAAAACGAATGTGCGCGGCGCTACCACGAGAGCCACTGATTGACAAGTAACCGCCCTGCATCCGTGACACTTTTGTAACTTTGAGACCGACTGTGCGCCGCGCTAAGGCGAGAGCCACATTTGAAAACGGCCCGCCCTCAATCCGTGAAGCTCTTGCAAATTGTGACAACGAATATGCACCGCGCTAAAGCGAGAGCCACATTTTGAAAACGACGCGCTTTCAATCCGTGAAGCTCTTGCCAATCTTGAAAGCGAATATGCGCCGCGCTAAGTCGAGAGCCAATTTTGAAAACCACCCGCCCTCAATCCGTGAAGCTCTTGCAACATTTTTGAATCGGATGTGCGCGGCGCTACGGCGAGAGCCACATTTTGAAAACGACCTGCCCTCAATCCGTGAAGCTCTTGCATATATTTAAAACGAATGTGCGCGTCGCTAACGCGACATCCACATTTTGAAACTGTGAGGCTGTTACAATTTCGAAACTTTCAGAGTCTTAAATGGAGAGGAAGTCTCAAGCGAAACGCCCCCGGTCCGCCCTAACAACTGGCCTGAGGGAGCGACAGGGAGAAATTATCTATAAGGAAAAGGAATGGAGGAGGAGTACGAGGAGGAGGAGGAGGCGGAGGAGGAGAAAAGGATGATGAGGAGGAGAGAGGAGGAGGCGGAGGAGGAGGAGGAGGAGCAGGAGGATGAGGATGAGGAGGAGGAGGAGGAGGAGGAGGAGGAGGAGGAAGAGGAGGATGAGGAGGAAGAGGAGGAGGAGGGGGAGGAGGGGGACGAGGAAGAGGAGGAGGAGGAGAAAGGGGAGGAGGAGGAAGAGGAGGAGGAGAAAGTGCAGGGGGAGGAAGAGGAGAAGGACGAGGAGGAGGAGGATGAGGAGGAGGAGGAGGAGGAGGACGAGGAAATGGATGAGGGCAAGGAGGAGGAGGAGGATTAGCAATGACAAACAACGAAGACGCAGACGAATAATAATGAGAAGACAGTTGAGAACACTAATCGTATTAGAATACTAACCAATCATATTAAGACCAGACATAACACTACTAGGAATACTAGTAACACTCACAATGCGAATCTCAGTATTCGGGATAGCATCATTATGGTGATACTTGTACAACTGTTAATACTAGTTTTCAGATGAATAAGTATAGTAGTACAAAACATGACGTCAATAATACGAAGAAGACAAAGAAAAAGAGGAGGAGGAGGAGGACGAGGAAGGGGACGAGGTGGAGGAGGAGGAGGAGGAGCGGGAGGAGGAGGAGGAGGAGGTGGAGGAGGAGGAGGAGGGGGGCGTGGTGTTAAGCTGTCCACAACGGAGCCTTACCTACACGCTCGTTCTACTCGTCCTGTTCACGCATGCATTGCGGTGCTCACCAGCGTTGTGTTGTACGCGGGTGTTGTGGTGTACTCAAACGCTGCGATGTACGCGGGCTCTGCGGCGCACGCAAGCACTGGTTTACACTAGCGCTGTGATGCAGACGGCTGCTGCGGTATACACACTCGCCCTGGTGTACACAGGCGGTGCGGTACACGCAAGTACTGTGGTGTACACAGGCGCTGCGTTGCACACGGTTGTTGTGGTGTACACAGGCGCTGTGGTCTGCACGCGAGCATTGTGGTGTACGCAAGCCCTGTGGTGCAGATCGCCACCGACATGCAGCGCCTACTTGGCGTCGGTCGTCCCCAGGCATTCCCGGACGCCGCCGGCGCGAAACGTAACATCTCTTGGGGGGATGTTGGGGGCGGGGCTGGTGACGGCCGTTACTGCCGAACTTAGACAAAATGGTTCCCATGCGGCGGCAACGCTTCCCATGGGAGGATCGACCGCACAATTGATTCACTCCGAACTGGACGTGTTTGCCGAATCTACGAACCAATTGTATAGGCGTTCCTTTGGTTATGGTACAGTCGGCAACAAGTATATCCAATTCTGCAATCGACCTCTTCCTCGACGCATGGGAAACGCATCGGCCCCAATTCGCCCATGGAGCGCCGATCGGGAGTCGATAAACCGTCCCCGCGGCGCGAGGGGCACCGAGCATGACCGGGGAAAGGAGCACACACACACACACCACACACACATACACACAAACACGCACACACAGATACAGACACAGACACAGACACAGACACAGACACAGACACAGACGCAGACGCAGACACAGACAGACACAGACACAGACACAGACACAGACACAGACACACGGACACGGACACGGACACGGACACGCACACGCACAGACACACGCACACGCACACGCACACGCACATGCACACGCACACGCACACGCACACGCACACGCACACGCACACGCACACGCACACGCACGCGCACACGCACACGCACACGCAAACGCACACGCACACGCACACGCACACGCACACGCACACGTACACGCACACGCACACGCGCACGCGCACGCGCACGCGCACGCGCACGCGCACGCGCACGCGCACGCGCACGCGCACGCACGCGCACGCGCACGCGCACGCGCCCGCGCCCGCGCCCGCGCGCCCGCGCCTGCGCACGCGCACGCGCCGACGCACGCGCACGCGCACGCGCACGCGCACGCGTACGCGCACGCGCACGCGCACGCGCGCGCGCCTGCGCACGCGCACGCGCCGGCGCACGCGCCGGCGCACGCGCACGCGCACGCGCACGCGCACGGCCACGCGCACGCGCACGCGCACGCGCACACGCACACGCACACGCACGCACGCGCACGCGCACACGCGCACACGCACACGCACACGCACACGCACACGCACACGCACACGCACACGCACGCACGCGCACGCGCACACGCGCACGCACGCGCACGCACGCACGCGCGCACGCGCACGCGCACGCGCACGCGCACACGCACGCGCACGCGCACGCGCACGCGCACGCACACACGCACACGCACACGCACACGCACACGCACACTCACACGCGCACGCGCACGCGCACGCGCACGCGCACGCACGCGCACGCACGCTCGCACGCACACGCACACGCACAAACGCACACATGCACGCACGCACACAGACACACAGACACAGACACGCAGACACACAGACACACAGACACACAGACACACAGACACACATACACACAGACACACAGACAGACAGACACACAGACACACAGACACACTGACACACAGACACGCAGACACACAGACACACAGACACACAGACACACAGACACACAGACACACAGACACACAGACACACAGACACAGACACACAGACACATACTTATCTACACACATACACACATACACACATACACACCTACACACCTACACATACACACATACACACAAATACACATACACACATACACGCATACACGCATACACACATACACATGAACATAAACACACAGTACACGCAACACACAACACACAACACGCACAACACACAACACAACACACACAACACACAACAAGCACAACACACAACACACACAGACACAGACACACAGACACACAGACACAGACACACAGACAGACACAGACGCACACACAGACACACAGACACAGACACAAAGACAGACACACACACCGACACACAGACACACAGACTCATTTACACACATACACACATACACACCTCCACACCTACACATACACACATACACACATACACACATACACACATACACATACACACATACACACATGCACACATACACACATACACATACACACATACACACATACACATGCACATAATCATAAACACACACACAACACGCAACACACACACAGCACACACACAAAACACACGAAGCACACACCGCACAACACACACACCATACACAACACACACAACACACACACACAACACACAGAGACACACAGACACACAGACACACAGACACACAGACACACACAACACACACAGCACACACAAACACACAGACACACACACACACACCCTCTGGCGGAAGGGTTGTCGGGGCTGGCTTCTCCCCGACCTCTCCCGGGGTGTTCTCTGGCCAGAGTATCGAGGCGAATCCAGTCTTAGGTCGGGCGTTGCCCCCTACAGACGGTTTTCGGCCGAAAACTAAGAAATAGCTAAACCATGTTCGAACTTACGCAAAATACAAACAAGATCCCCAGACTTTTTTTTTGTTTTCTATTTTGAGTCTTCCTCCTACGTAGGGACAGGCCCGACTCAAATCCAGCCGCGGCGATGAGGGCCTCCAAGGAGGCCCAGCCACACGAAAACGGGGGAAGGATAATTAGCGGCCCTGCCTCGATCACTCGGCGCGAGGGGCACGCCGGCGAGGGCGGACGGCGAAGGGCGAAAGCCTACCTAGGCCTCCCAGAAGGGGTCGCCGCAGAGGGGGTCGGAGGCTCGCGCCGCATCGCCGATGCATCGGCGATGCGGCTCGATGTGGAGCTCGTGTTTCTCCACGCGTGGTGCTCGAGGAGGGGTTGGAGGAGGAGGGGAAGTTGTTTTTTTTCCGCGCCGGCGTCGCCGATGCATCCCTGACCTCGCCGATGCATCGCCAATGCGTGTGTGATGCACCGACGATGCGGCGCGACCCTCGGACCACATCTGCTCCGACCCGGGGCGGGGGGGGAGGATCGAGATCCCACCGAGCGCAAATCGGACCGGGACATCTGCCTTCTCGCGCCTTCCCTCGTCGGCCTCCCCCCTTCCCCCCGCCCCCCTCCCCCTCCCCCTCCTCCTCCTCCTCCCGCCCCCTTCCTCCTCCCGCCCCCTCTCTCCTCCCTCCTCCTCCTCCCCTCCTCCTCCTCCTCCTCCTCCTCCTCCTCCTCCTCCTCCTCTCCGCCCCCTCTCTCCTCCCTCCTCTCTCCTCCTCTCCTCCTCCTCCTCCTCCTCCTCCTCCTGCCCCTCCGAAGACTGGCTGCCTCCAGCAGGGGCATCGGGGGGGGCCCAGCAGGAGCTGCAGCCGCTCATCGGCGGCGACGCCTCCGACAGCGAGGAGGCGCCGCCCGCGGCGCAGCAGGCCTGCACGGCACCGGGGCCGCTCGCCGCCGCCGCCGCCGCTGCGCTGTCCTCGTCGTTGTCGGCGTCGTTGCTGTCTTCGCTCCCTGGCCCTCCTCCTCCTCCTCCTCCTCCTCCTCCTCCTCCTCCTCCTCATCCGTATCCTCCTCCTCCTCTCCTACTCCTCCTCCTCCTCCTCCTCCTCCTCCTCCTCCTCCTCCTCCTCCTCCTCCTCCTCCTCCTCCTCCTCCTCCTGTCCCCCGTTGCGAAACAAATGGACGAGGGTTTTTGTCTCAGTTTTGGGCCTCCCCGCGAGCCCTCAGCGGGCCGGGGGAAGGTAAAGAACGGCCCCAGACCTCCTCCTCCTCCTCCTCCTCCTCCTCCTCCTCCTCCTCCTCCTCCTCCTGTCCCCCGTTGCGAAACAAATGGACGAGGGTTTTTGTCTCAGTTTTGGGCCTCCCCGCGAGCCCTCAGCGGGCCGGGGGAAGGTAAAGAACGGCCCCAGACCTCGTGGGCAGCCACGTTGCGACAACAGTCGCGACGGGGAATGTTTTGGTCGCTGCTCTCGTCATCGTCCTCGGCGTTCGTAGCGTCGTCCTCGTCGTCGTTTTGAGGCCCAACAGGCGGCGCGGCCGATGGCGCTCGTCGTCGTCGCCGCCACTCGTTAATTGTCCTTGTCGTCGTCCTGCCCTGACATTCTCTCGTTGCGAAAGATGACGACGAGAGTTGTTGCAAATATCAGCTACCAGGTGCCCTCTCGGGGCCCTGGGACGGTCAACACCAAGGTTCACACCTCTGGGGAGCCACGCGGACGACGCAAGAAAACTGGGTCGACTGCGCCGACATTCGCGCGTAAACTGCCCGCGCAAGGTCGCGCGTAAGCGCCTTCGGTTCCAGTGTAACGTGCCGCGCTGGCCGGCCGCGTAAGCCGCCGCGTAAGGTCGCTATGCAATTGCGCATCAGGCCCGTTCCTTTTCGTCGCCCACGTTTGGAACAACTCACGACGGAGGATGCTGACCGCTGCCCTCGTCATATCCTCCTCGTCGTCTTCCTGCTCTCGTCGTGTCGTCGTCTTCTTCGTCGTCCTCGCGGCCAACCTGCCGGAGACCATCCAGGCGGCGCGGCCGAAGCCTCTCGTCGTCGTCGTCGTCGTCGCTATCGTCGCTTTCGTCGTCTTCGTCGGCGTCGGCGTCGGCGTCGGCGTCGTCGTCATGGTCGCCTTGTGGATGTGGGAAATCTGCATGAACGCGAACTTCTGGAGGTCTGTATGGACATCTTGGATCGGCGCTGTGCCTCTGGGCTCGCGGCGACCCCTCTGAGGGGGCCGACGACGCCGACGCCGCCGCCGACGCCGACGCTAACGCCGAGGCCGTCGCCGACGACGAGGATGACGCCGACGACGACGACGACGAGAACGACGACGACGACGAAGACGAAGCCGCCGCCGCCGCCGACGCCGACGCCGACGCCAACGACGTCGTCGCAGTCGCCGTCGCCTTCGTCATGGTCGCCGTCGCCGTCGCCGTGGTCGCCTCCGTCGTTCTCCCCCGAGATCTGACGTCACTTAACACTTGCGTCATCATAGAAGCCTCGGCCAGAGCCCTGTATCCCATCTTTCTCCTTTCGACCTGATCAATCCGTGAGGGTCTCGGGGCCCGAAACAAGCACAGTCGCCCGATGTGGAAAACAAATGTGACGCCAGGATCTCAGGGTCCTCGTTGTTCTCGTCCTCGTTGTCGTCGTCGTCGTCGTCGTCGTCGTCGTGGTCGTCCTCATGGTCGTCGTCGTCGTCGTGCTCGACGTCGTCGTTGTCGTCGTCGTGCTTGACCACGTCGTCGCCGCCGCCGCGCCGCCGCTGCCGCCGCCGTCGGCTGCCGGCGGCGGCGGCGTGCGCGCGAGGCGCAGCTCCGCCTCGCGGCGCGGGCGCTGAGGGAACGCGAGCGCGCCGCTGGGGAAGCGATCGGGCGCGCCCGCGTGGAGAGGCGCTGACGCCGCCGGGCGGCGGACGAACGACGACGGCGGACGAGTGACGAGCGTCGAAGATCGTTTATAGCCAGGACCCTATGGTGAGCCGATTAGTGATTGGGCCCCGAAGCCCTCCAAATTGGCCAGAAACATTAGACCAGGTCTGCCAGTGACGGCAATTCCGATTAGTGGGGAATGGGGCATGGGAGGCGTCCCACGGTACACATCACTGAACAAGGTCCCTGTAAATCCAGTCCTGCCAACGCCGAAGAGAACAAACAATTGCACAAGCATAAACTTTTGAAGGTCCGTGCGGATTTCTTGGATCTGCGCTGGGTCCCCCTGGCGCGCCTCTGGCGCCGCCCCTGGCGCACTCCGCGCGCCATGGAGGGGGCCCAGCGCCGATCCAAGAAATTCACGCGAATCCAAAAGATTATGTTTATCCCTAAGGGCTTTGCCCCCTGCCGCTGGCCCCACTCTCTATCAGAACGGGATATGCCAGAGTATCGTCGCGTCGGTGCGTCTCGGCGCTGCCTTGGCGCATCTGGGAACATCATGCGGGGGCGGGTAGGAATCATCAGTGCATGTTGAGACGTTCGCGTTATCGAAGACGCCTACGGCGAATCACCGCCGCCCCCTGCCTTTTTGGAAGCGCCTATGTGGCCGAACGTTGAGGCCAGACCTGCCAAGCTATCGGACCACGTGTTCCCCGAATCGGTTTGGAAAGCCTTCGGGGAACACGTGGGCATCTTGAAGGTCATCTTGGCCGTCTTGGAGGCCTCTTGGGCAAGCTTTGGGCGATCTTTGGGGCTTTTTGGGCCGTCTCGGGCCAGCTTCGAGCCAACTTCGGCCATCTTGGTGGGTTCCTGGCACGTCTGAAGCCGTCGGAAGCCGTTTGGGGGGCCTCTATGGGCCGACTTGGGGCCCGCTTGGAATGCTCCAGGGCCGTCTTGGAGGCCATCTTGGGCGTCTGGGAGGCCATCTTGGGCGTGTTGGAGGCCTCTTGGGCCCTCTTGGGGCCCTCTAGGGGCCATCTTGGAGGCCACTTGGGCCATCATGGGGCTCTCTTGGGGGCCTCTTGGGCGATCTTGGGGGCTTCTTGGGCCGTCTCGAGCCGTCGGAGAGCCGAAAAGGCGCAAATGCCAGAATCCTTCAAAAACCAAGGAAAAATCAATGATTTTGGCCTCTTCGGACTCTCCTGGAGGACCTCTTGGAGGCCTCTTGGGCCGTCTGGGAGGCCTCTGGGGGGCCTCTTGGGCCGTCTTGGGCCGTCTTGGACTCTCTTGGGCCGTTTTGGAGGCCGTCTTGGACCATCTCGGGCGGACTTGGAGGCCATCTTGGGCCATCTTCGCGATTTTTTGAGGATGTCCCGAGCGAAACGGCCGTTTTTTGGAGGATTGTTTCCGGATTGAGGTCCTTTCGGCTTCCTCCCGGGACCCCGGCGGGACGGGCCGGAGCCCACTGGAGAGTTCTTTTAGAAAAAGAACCAAAACCAAAACCAGCTCATCCAGCACGCCGTGCACCCCTGCAAGCAGGGGGCGGCGGATCCTAGTGGCCTTCGGCCTATCGCGCCACCGTGCCTGGGTTGTGGGTCTGAGGCCTCTTGTATCGCGGGGAGCCTCTTGGGGTCCTCTTGGAGGAGGTTTGGGCGCCTGGGGGCCTCTTGGGGCCTCGTTGGGTATCTTGGGGGCCTCCTGGAGGCCTCTTGGACGACTCTTGGACGCCTCTTGGGCACCTCTTGGGCGCCTCTTGGGGCCTCTTGGAACATCTTGGGGGCTTCTCGGGGCGCAGATATCGAACGTTCGGTTCGTGGTCCCCTGCTTGGGCCCCTCTTGGGGCCGTCTTGCGGCCCTCTCGGACCGTCTCGAGCGCTTCTTGGGCCATCCTTGGAGCCCTCTTGGGCCGTCTGGGGGCCATCTTGGTGGCGTCTTGGGCTGTCCTGGGGCTGTCTTGGGGCGGTATTGGGATCTTCTCGAGCCGTTTTGGAGCGTCGGGAAGCCGAAAACGCGAGAAGGCCAACATCCTTCAAACACCGTTGCACAATTTTTGCGATGTTAGACTCGAAGGGCTCTCTCGGGAGGCCTCTTTGAGCGCTCTTGGGGCCTCTTTGGGCCTTCCTGGGCCGTCTTGGAACCATCTTCGGGCGCCTTGGTCACTCTTTGCGAATACGGCGTAACTTGTAAGCGTTTCTGGCTTCGGGGACGCGAACATCGCGTAATTTGCGAAGGTTTGTTGCTTCGGGGACGCAGCAATTGTGTACGTTAAAAGGGTTTGTGGCCTCGGGTATGCGAGCATCGCGTAATCTACGAGGGATCTATGGCTTCGGGGGCGCGAATCTCATGCATTTTTTCGTGTCCCACGCCCCCCCGAGAAATTCAGAACACGCGATCCGGGCGTGGTAAATTGGATCCTCTTGGGCGCCCCCCCATCGCGCGGACTTCAACAATTTACAGTAGGAAGCAGACAGCAGGACTGTAACATTGCAGCGCACTGGTGCAGGGGGCAGCGCACTTCGGCCTACAGCCTGGTGGCCCCACAAGGGGGCCTGCGGACTACAACCCTCGCCAAAATTAACCTCATGCATGTTTTACGTGTCTGAACTGTTTGTGGGGAGATACTGGAAAGAGTAGCGATGACTGCGAGATGCTTGTATGCGCCGCCCCTCCAATGTCGGTCATCATCAAAATTCCGAGTCGTTCCAGGTCAGACCACCTTTTGCCCTAGCCCCGACGTTGGAGGGACGTCTCTCGACATTGAAGGCGCGCCGACATCGCAGGGGCGTGTTCGCCGTTTTTGATATTAATTTTGACAAGGGTAGTAGTACTTCTGGCCTCCAGGGTGGAATTTTGCATCATTCACGGTGGATTCTGCCCTCCAGAGCGCACTGTTAGTGTGAAGGCGAAGGATTCTCGCCTCCGGAGTCAAATTTTGTCGTAAAATTCGTTGGATTCGGCTTCGGTAGCGCGAGTGACGGGGAAGTGTCTTCGAGGTACGAGAGGAGGGCGAGCTGGACGTTGTGGCTGAATCTGCGTCGTATCCCATAATCTCTTACTAGTAGA